TTATGAAGCAAAAATGTTACAGTAAGCTAATTTATTGTCGAAGAAAGAAATCTTTTAAAAAACAAATTTAGTGTAGCCTAAGGGTACAATGTTTATAAAGCCACAATAATGTATAGTCATCCTAGACCTTCCCATTCACTCACCACTCACTTGCTGACTCATCCAGAGCAACTTCCAGTCCTGCAGGCTCCATTCCTGGTTAAGTGCTCTATGCAGGTGTACCATTTTTATCACTCCCCCATTGCTGGATGCTATCTTTATGAGATGGCAGGAGTACCTCTTCTCCTACCTTACTTGCCACGTCTAGCCTAGACAGTCACCCCCATTAAATGGCAGAGGAAATACAGTGACAGCTGGCTTTCTGGAAAATGTGATACTCACAAGGTAAGATATAAAGATGGCAAATGGAGACGAGTCCTGGCCGTATACTAGGGACTGTGATATTTGTGTATTATAGCATTCTGTGGTATGCCACCGACTCAGCGGTGTTAGGAAGCACCTAGGACTGCAGAGCTAGCAGAGTGAAACCTTCTGGAACGAGGGGCTGAGCTGGGAACATCCACTGACATGGCAGCAACAAAAACATAGCCATGAGCCACATGACAGGGAAAAGACAAACTGATGAAAGTGGCCTATTTGTCAATATCCAGAGTGTATAGATCCAGCCTCATTTAGGAATAAGAAAAGAGAAAAATATTAATTTGACATCATGGAAAAATGCTGAATAAAGTATCTAATATGAAATATCATAGAGACTTGTGGATTCAATGACAAATGTTGTGTCCCTAGAAAACTTATACGAAGATCACTGAATTAACATGATATAATCATCCATGCATAGGCAAAACTAGGCCAGCCCTTCACAATACTCTTTACAAATGCTGACACAAAGTGGGAACTACTAAACATCAAATCTAATATTTAACATTGATTTACAGTATCCAACTATTAAAAACTACTAAAGACTATTCTAGAAGTATTAAATATCACTTAACATGTTGATGATGCTATGCTGTGAATGAATTGAAATTGTACGTGTTTATGTGATTTTTTTTTTTAGGTGAAGTAACGTATTTTTCTTTATCATTTAAACCACTTTGAGTAAGGGGTTTATGTTACTTGAAGCCAAAGGCATTCTAATTATACAAAGTTCTTTAAGTTGGTAATTTTTATGTTATGTGTTTTATTTTTTAATTCCATAGGCTTTTGAGTGAACAGATGGTATTTGGTTACATGAGTAAGTTCTTTAGCGGTGATTTGTGAAATGTTGGTACACCCATCACCCAAGCAGTATACACTGAACTTAATTTGTAATATTTTAGCCCTCATCCCCTTCCCACCCTTTCCCCCTGAGTCCCCAGAGTCCACTGTATCCTTCTTACGCCTTTGCATCCTCATAGCTTAGCTCCCACTTATGAGTGAGAATATACGATGTTTAGTTTTCCATTCCTGAGTTAATTCATTTAGAATAATAATCTCCAATCCCATCCAGGTTGCTGCAAATGCCATTAATTCAATTCGTTCCTTTTTATGGTTGAGTAGTATTCATATAGATACGTGTGTCTGTGTCTGTGTGTGTGTGTGTGTGTGTGTGTGTTTATGCAGTTTATACACTCATTGATTGATGAGCATTTGAGCTGGTTACACATTTTTGCAATTTTTAATTGTGCTGCTATAAATATGTGTGCAGGTGTATTTTTGTATAATGACTTCTTTTTCTCCAGGTAGATACCCAGTAGTGGGATTGCGGGATCAAATGGTAGTTCTACTTTTAGTTCTTTGAGGAATCTCCACACTGTTTTCCATAGTAGTTGCACACGTTTACATTCCTACCAGCAGTGTAGAAGTGTTCTTGTTCTTTTTCACAGCATCCACACCAATGGCTTTTTAAAATTTTTGATAATGGCCATTCTTGCAGGAATAAGGTGGTATCACACTGTGGTTTTAATTTGCATGTGCCTGATCATTAGTGATGTTGAGCACTTTTTCATATGTTTGTTGGCCATTTGTATATTTTCTTTTGAGAAGTGTCTATTCATGTCCTTAGCCTACTTTTTTATGGGATTTATTTTCTTGCTAATTTCTTTGAGTTCTTTGTAGATTCTGGATATTAGCCTTTTGTCAGATGCACAGATTGTGATTTTTTTTAAAGAATAAATGTTATTGTGTATATTTATGGTATACAATATGATGTTTTGGGATATACATACATAGTAATAAAAAGGCTACTATACTGAAGTAAATTAAAATAACCATCATCTCTCAGAGTTACTCATTTTCTCTTTTTGTGGCAAGAGCAGGTAAACTTATTTAGTATGAATCCCAAATACAGTATAATTTTATTACCCATAATGTTCATCTTGTACATTCTGTCTCTAGACCTGTTCACCCACCATGCCTGCTACTTTGTGCCTCCGATCTCCCTATTTACTTTCTCCATCCACCATCCCCCTCATCCCTGCTAACCACTGTTTTGTTCTCTCTGTATATTTGAATTTATTTTTAATATTCCATATATGAATAACATCATGCAATATTTCTCTTTCTGTGTCTAGCTTAATTCACTTGGCATAATGTCATCCAGCTTCATTCATGTTGTGGCAAATGGCAAAATCTCATTCTCTTTATGGCTGAATGATATTTTATTATATTAAATGGTGACACACACACACACATATCACAGTTTCTTTATCAATCTCTCTGATGATGGACAAAGGTTGATTCTTACAATATGTTTTATAACTCCAAGAATTCCCTTCAGTTATTATACTGCAAGTCAGAGTCACATAATTCCATAGTGAGCTCATAAATCTAGACTAATATAGAATTGCTCAGTGGATTAAATTTTGGTACTTAAAATGTTTCCATCAATAGTAATTAGAAAGATGTTAATTTTCATAAATATACATTTTTAACATTAAGTATAAATGAAATTAGACTTTTTAAAACTTTTGGTGGTTTTTAAGATCTTTGAGCTTCATAGTCCTTGCAAATAACTACTCATGATGAAAAAGACGGCCAATTTCGAGCAAGAAATTATTCCCCGAAGTTTGTTTCTACTATCTACCTTTTAAAAGGAATAATGATAGGAGATGATGAACTTATACATCAATATGACTTTAACACAGCAGTCAAAAATCTTAAAAAATATATACCTCAAGGAAAAATATTATTCATAATTTATTAATGAGGAAAATATAACTATTCCTAGTCGTTGTATATACAAATTATTTCATCTTCAACCAAGCACTTCTAAAATGCTTTTTCTTCAATAAGCCATTTATTATTATTTTCATGTGAAAAAGTTAGACAGATAAAAAATAAAAAGGAAAAGGGAAATGGAATGCTGCAGTTGTTTTAGACTCATAAACAGAGCAGTAGAGTTTTTCTCATCAATTGCCTGTGACCTTGCAAAGGATACACAAATCATCTGTCTTTATTTCCCATTAGGAATTAGCAGCCTCTATTTAATTTTTTGGCTTTTCAGCTTTCAGTTAGAAGTTTCACACACACACACAAAACAATAGGCTGCTAATCATAGTGTTATATAAACGTTGATATCGAAGTACTGAGGTAATTAATTTATCTCTTGGATTTCGCTATAGAATATTCTGGTTACTATAGAAGTATTTCTTTAATTTGTTGTAGTCATCAAAGACAATATAATTCTTACAGCTGTGTTTGTTATTTTATTACTTGACAACAAATTGTATTTGCTATTTCATTGCCTCCGAGTACAAATACATAATTGATTACCTATAATGAATCTGTTGGAAATTGGCAACAGGGAAATGCAGGATTATTAAATTATTACAGAAATCTTTTTGGTTAATCAAGTTTATACTCTTCATAGCTGACACTCCCCCATTCTCCTCTTTTTCCTCACCAGCAGAACCCAATTTTGACTGGTTTGTCTACTCTTCCCCTTTGAAATCTAAGTGTCTTGGGCAAAGTTGACCCTACCCCTAGCTTATAGAATGAGGTATGATTAATAGAAACCAACCAAAATACTTCTTGGTGTCTTTGGGGAACTGGTTCCAGGACATCCCTTGAACACCAAGATATTAAAATGCTCAAGTCCACAGTTAAAAATGACACAGTATTTGTATATAACCCACACATATCTGTAGAATTTAAATCATCTCCAGATTAGTTACAATAACTGATACAATGTAAAGGTAAGTAGTTATTACACTGTATTGTCTCGGAATCATGACAAGAAAAAAAGCCTGTACACGTTCAGTACAGACACATTTTTTTTCCTGAATATTTTTGATTCATGGTTGGTTGAATCTATAGATGCTGAGTCCAGGGAAGGCTGATTGCACTACCACATTTGTGGCCAGAGATTGGTTTTAATGGTTCAGGATTATGCTAATCAAGACTTGGTGGGTTCTTCAGCTAAACTGACCTCATCAGTCCAGAGGAACTTCTGTTTCATTGTGATGAGAGGGATTCTCTGTGTTTCTTTCTCTGATCCTCTGTCTTTTTATCTCAAGTGAGGTAGGAACAAGAACAGTTGCTGCCCAAGTCACTGCTAGTACACATCTCATGGAAAAAAACCAGTCTGAGGACAGAACTGACACATCAGAAAGATCCTGACCCTATGTGCCTGGCCTCCCTGCCCTCCACCTTCTCCTATCTTGTTACAAGAAATGAACCATTTATTTATGATTTAAATGAATGAACCATTTTATGGTTTTTATTTATTTATTTATGATTTAAATGAACCATCTTTCTATGGACAAATTAATATTTTTAAGTTTAATTTCCTTAAGTTCTTTCAGGAAAGGATAAATCACTTGAGGCCCAAAACATACCCTAGTCTGAGTTCTTTGTTCTCACACACCTTTGTTCTCCTACCTCAGCTAGTGTGAGATTTCCTGGTTCTCCAAACTAAAATGTACTTTAGTCAGAAGTCATCATTAGTCCTAACAGGTCAAGACCCTTCAGGAACCATCATATCCAGACTTGAAATTGACCCCAATGACATGACCTACCTTGGGCATGCAGATGACCAGATGACCTGTTGTCTGAGATCTTTTAGCAGAGCTGCTATCAGGTTTCACTTCTGCAGGAAGGACAAGCTGAAATGGCTGAAAATAAGTAGAGAGTATCACTGAGAGCAAGGTCGTTACATGAAAGGGTTACTACAAGGGGTACTTTCATTACAAATTCAAGGTACACCATTCAGTTAAGAAACGTGCTTAAACTTAATAAAAATATATATGAGCTATGCTTGCTATGCATGAACTATTTTATCTATTTTAACAAATAGTCTAAGAACAGTTATGTCACAAGCAGTGAAACGTTCATGGGTTCATTTATGGCTAAAAAGTAATTTATAGAGAAAACACTGTCAAAACATAAACATATTTCCATTTAAAAATCTTCAAGCTAATCTTCAAACCCATAGGAATGCTCTAAAGTAAAAAATGGTATTTTAGAAATAATAAAATTATAGTTGTTATGAATGAAATCATTTACAACTTAGAATGGGTGTACTATTTAATTTCATACATAGGCTCCCACACATGTGATTATGTTATTAGCTTTGAAAAAGTATACCACAAAACCACAGATTTAAAATATTAATGATATTCAAGTACGTATGGTCAGTAGCCATTCCCACCATATACCACTCCAATGATATGAAACCATGTGCTAAAACGTAGCACTCTATTCAGTTTCCCTTTTTCTATTTTTGTTTATTTATTTATTTATTTATTTATTTATTTATTTATTTTTTTCCCATTTATTTATTTTATTGTATTTTAGGTTTTGGGGTACATGTGAAGAACATGCAAAATTGTTGCATAGGAACACACCTGGCAGTGTGATTTGCTGCCTTCCTCCCCATCACCTACATCTGGCATTTCTCCCCCTGCTATCCCCCCCATCTCCCCACATTTTTGAGGCAGAGTCTCACTCTAGTAGCCCAGGCTGGAGTGCAATGGGTGATCCTGACACACTGCAACCTCCGCCTTCCAGGTTTAAGCGATTCTCCTGCTTTAGTCTCCTGAGCAGCTGGGATTACAGGCATGAGCCACCATGTCTGCTAATTTTGTATTTTTAGTAGAGACGGGGTTTCACCATGTTGGCCAAACTGGTCTTGAGCTCCTGACCTCAGGTGATCCACCCGCCTTGGCCTCCCAAAGTGCTGGGATTACAGGCATAAGCCACTGCGCCTGGCCCCTTTTTCTATTTTAATAATACTTAAAAAAAAATGGGGGCACCACAGCTTAGTTCAAAGCTTAGCCTTTGAAATTGTAATAGTCTACAGGGTTCTACTTACCTTTCCTTTGATCATAACTCTTACGTAAGTTGGTTGCACATCAACATCAATTAAAGAGGTATCCATATATCTTCAAAATTAAATACACAAAATCTTACAATTTTAAAAAATATCAAGTTTGAAAAACTGTAAATACAAATTCACATTTATAGAACCATTTTAAATGAAGGACATTTAAAATATCTGTGCTAACCAGGTCTTTACAAATTAGCCTTAAATTAATCCCCAGACCAAAGGAAATTCAACATATCAGCAATTTCATTTTTAGACCCACAAGTACGCTTGGCATTGATTGCCCCTAACCCAAAAATATCCGAGGTCTGAAACACCAGAGGTTTGCAAAAAACAGCTTGCCATGCTCTTTCATGAATATTTTATTTTAAGCCCCTAAGACTTGAATAGCCAGGAATGCTGATTCCACTCTGCTTGAGGCCTGTACCCACCAGCTCCTGCTTCCCTGGTGGCTCTGGATCCCCTGCAGCTGTTCTGCAGCTGCCCTGATACTATCTCTCCTGGAAAACTAGCTTGCTTTCCCCCCCGCAAAGGCATATCCTGCTGAATAAGCAAACGCTTCCATTTATGGCAGTGACCCCAAGATCAGGTGGCAATTATTCTCTTCCACTCATGAGCAAATAAAAGATTTAGATTTCACATCGCTCATTAAAATCAGCTTAGCCAAATAATTATGCTCATATATTTCAAAATACTAATTGTGAACATTAGAAAACACAGAACTCTTTTAAAAATCACAAATGTTATGGCAGGTAAGCTAATACAGGGGTTACAGAGATAGGTTTGAAGCCACACAGGCTTGTGGGGAAATGGCTCCTCCCCTTCCTGCTTTATTACCAGGGACCACATTCTTTAACCTCTCTAGGCCTCAGTTTCCTCTTCTATAAAATGGGAATACTACTAGCATCTAGCCCTAAGATTGCTAGGAAGGAACATGCATAGTACCCAATACGTAGCTAGTGTTAAAAATGTATTATATATGCCATTTAAAAACAATTTCTACAACTTCACATGTGATATGTATGCTTTAATGAATAATATATTATTTTCCATGCTTGGATCCTTAAAATATTCATGTGTCTTTACCTATAAGGCCTTTCTCTGCCAGAAATAATCTTCTGACAGTTTTTTGCAGAAAAAAGCTACTTCTCATTCTCCAGTTGTCACTGCTCATGCCACCCTCTTTCCCTGACCACTCCCACACAGCATTATTCCCATCCCTAAACACTGTCCCTTTCCTTGACAGCATCCTTCTTCCTTTGTAATCATTACACGCCTACTGATTGTCTGTCCTCCTCCCCCACTGGGCTCTAGGTGACAGGAGATCATGGCTGTATTTAGAATATGCCAGTTATAGTCTCCCCATGCCTGGCACATAGTAGGTATTCTATAGATTCTTGTTGAATAAAGGCAGGAAGCAGATGTGAATGAATGAATTTAACTTTCAAGTATACACCCATGTGTCCATAAAGATAACCAGGAATTATAGCATAATTCATTTGGACAGAATCATGGAAATGAAAGAGATTTACTACATAGACCGGAGAAATACTACCACCCCTTAAAATGCACATGCATGGGAATGAGGAATGTTTCATTTGAGGACTGAACAGGAAGCAGCCAACAGCTGAAAAAGAAAGGGTTATACATTCATTAAACTCCAGACACAGGGCCTAAAAATGGAAAGGACTTACAAGCATGAAACAGTGATTTGTCTGGAAAACAGTAGAAATGGCAGCTTGGGAAGCTGGAGGAGCAGAAGATATGAAGCTAGCTAGAGAAGAGCTGGGAGCTTTGTAAAGGCAGATGACCTGGCAGCAAGCAGGCAGAAGAACTGACAGGAGGTATGGAAAGGCACGCAGCTGATCAGAGACAGCTCGGTGCGGAGAGGAAGGGACCACACTAAGAGTAGCCCTGGTTCACAAAAGCCAAGGTGGAAACCACCCAAATGCCCACCAACTGGTGAACAGATACACAAAATGTGGTATATCAATGCAGCGGAATATTGTTTGGCCATAAAAAGGAAGGAAATTCTGACATATGTTACAACACAAATGAGGCTTGAAGACATTATGGTAAGTGAAAGAAGCCAGTTACAAAGGCCACGTGTTGTATGATTCCATTAATATGAAATATACCAAGTAGGCAAATCTACAGAGATAGAAAACAGATTAGTGGTTGTCATGAAGAGGGAGAATGGGCAGTGACTGCTTAAGGGCCATGGGGTTTCCTTTTGGGGAGATAAATATTTTCTGAAACTAGACAATGGTAATGGTTGTACAATATTGTGAATTTATTAAATACCACGGTGGTGTCCATTTTGAAATAGTTAAAATGATAGATTTTAAGTTGTGTATTTTATCACCATCAAATCAGCAAAGTTGGTTGAAGTCCTGAGGGTTGATGATCTGGCTCCTTCTTTCCCTGTTTACTTTGACAAGACTCACTCTTGGAAAATTTACTCCCTCTTGGGTAATAATCCCTCCTACCTCCCAGGGTTACTAAGAGATTAAATAAACAGGGGCACATTGAAAGCCATTAAAAAGAGAAAGCCACTTATTATAATTCATGCATGTAAACATTCATCCATTCATTCACACATGTAAATGTAATACTCCATCATCGGTATTCATTCATTCATTCATTCATTCTTGTATTTATTGAGCACCTAACAGGTGCCAGGTATCATTTTAGGTGTGGAGACATAGAGATGACAGAACAAACAAAACAAGTTTTCTGCTCTAACCACAAATTTTAATACAAGTAAATTTACACTTTGTCAGCAGGAAACCAAAAAGCAGGAAAAGTGGAAGGAAGTGCTGGGCAGGGGTAGGTATTGCTTTATGTTAGATGGTGGGGCAGAGAAGCCCCTCTAATGAGGTTAGGTGACATCTGAACAGAGGCCTGAAGAACACAAGGCAGGAAGTCACAAGGACACAGAGGACAATACAGGCAGAGGGAAGCACAGGCAAGCAGCCTCTGAGATGATGCCAGGGGACACTGAGGTCATCAGAAGGATGTATCAGCACAGTGAACCAGAGCCTAAAATCTTCAGGGAATGAGGCAGAGTGACCTAATGACTTTAGATGCTTCCACAAAAGGGGCAGAAGGTGATATAGGCTGAGGGTTTAAGTGTCAAAGTCATAGAGTTTTAGGGAGGAGAGAGGGATAATACTTTGGTGTAGTGATGAAGGCAGGCAGGAGATCTGTGCCACTCCTGCCCACAGGTGAGAAAACAGGCAGGATGTGAGAGCGCCGCAGGGAAGAAGGGTCCACTGGTGACAGAGGCTGCTAGGTGTTCCCCCCAGGCCACTAAGATGGGACAGAGAGAGGAGAGTCGACCACCTGATACCTATTACTATAGCAAGGCATTTTAGACAAAAACCAAGGACTATAGCAGCAGAGAGCAGAGTGGGGTCCTTCTAGTGTCAGCATCAGAAAACACCACAGGTCTGAGAATTAGTTAAACTCTGCCTTAGGTATTTCTGAGTTCATAGTCATGAAATTGTGGCTTTCTTTACCTTTCCTTTCATTTTCATACTTTTAAAAATTATAGTAACTTCTCTGTCTTTATAAATAAGCTTCATTTAACTATAGAGCTAACTCAATTCTTTCAGAATTTTTCGGAGCTCAAAAATTGCTACTGATAATGCAAACAGACAGAAACGTCATACAATAAATACATGTAAAATGTTTTTACCTATAGACAGCAAGGTCCAGGATGATCTGCTTTTCATTGTCGTTCAAAGAGAAGTCAATTCTAAGAATAATAAATTGGGTGGGGGAAAGATGTCTTTAGGATACTGTATAGATAATCCCATCACAAAATCAGAAGCAAGTTAGATAATAATTATATAATAATATCCAATGACAACTTATTTTGGTGGTTGGAAAATCAAATATCAATGCTAATTTTAAAATTTCAGGGAGACCTACAACATATTAATAAATTATTTGTGTTTACAGTGTTTAAATGTGAGAATCTGAAGGTAAATTACACACAAAAAATTAGCTTTGGTGCAGAGATAGAGACATCTGGTGGCTAAAGTTTTCTTTTCCATTTCCTGTGAGTTTGCCATAAGCAAACTGAAACAATGGAATAATTTATGGAAAACTGAAGTTGCTTTTGCCTCCCCTTTATCCAGCATTCTATTTTTTAAGTTTTAAAGAGTCTTGCATTCCGTCTTTTTTCTTGCTGTCTTTTTTCTTCTCCTTTCATGACCGACCTTTCCAATGCCCTGAAAAAGGCTGAGAGACTGCCCATCATCTATTACCTCTGTTTTACAGATGAACAAACAGAGGTTCAGAGACTGGCATGGCTGAATTATAACAAATGTCTTTGCACTTTGGCTGCATGAGCCTGGCTGGGCAGGATTTCATGGCTCTACATCTTTCAACTGTTCCCTGAGGCAGAGTCCTCGGTTTAGCTTCCACACTGTCAACATACTATCAGTACTATCAGAATCGTCTGGTCAATTTTCTTTTGAGCATTACACTTACTATATTACTCTATAAAATATACGACTCAACAATATTAAAGAACATAAGTTAAATTGTTTAGGAAAATGTAAAGTTTGTGATAGATTTGACTGTTAGCAGCATTTCTGCTTGTGGCAGGCACGGTCTCATTGCTTTCAATAGTGCAGGCCTGTGGGATTTCTTCAGGGTCTCAAATGACCCATGCATTTATAGAACCTCATCTCAGGGCCTTTTTATGTGCTCCTGCTCTGCCTCAATTGCTTATTACTTGCAAAGTAATTTCAGAGAAGTTTCCTAAGGCAGAGATTGCTCTTTTGTTGCTATCTGCTTCCCCTTTATTCCTAGTAACAGGAACCATGGTTTTAACTAGGTGCATGGCTATATATAGTAAAGGTTGTATTCTATGGCCTCCCTTGAAGGTAGGTGAGGTCACGTGAGGCAAAGGTGTTGTATGGCACTTTCTAAGAGTATCCCTTAAGAAAAGGAGCATGTATCCTTTCTTCCCTTTTTTCTTTTTTATTCGGCTGAGTAGAACAGAATGTAGGAGGCCAACAGTTGAACCATGGGGACTGCTTAACAAGCAATTACAACTGTGAGCCAAAGGTAGTGTTGGCTAGCGGTGGTGGTGGGGTCAGTGAGATGTGGCTGGATTCTGACAATATCAAAGGAAGAGTTCATAGGGCTCACTGATAAAATGAGAGAAGAAGAATCAAGGGAGAATCCAAGGTTTCTGGTCTTAAACAAGGGGTGAACGTGTGTTACTGAGATGGTGAACACAGGGACACAGCACGCCATGCTGGAGAGTGGTAGGGAGGCTGGAAATCAGGGGTTATTTTTTAGCCCTAATAAGTTTGCGATGACTCTTTTACATCCACCCAGTGATGTCAAACAGCAAACGGAATACACATATCTTGAGCTCAGAGAAGAGGTTGGATCTGGTTAGGAGCATCGTAAAGAGAGTGTTTACAGCCATGGGATTTGGTGAGAACCCTGAAGAGTGAATGCAAAAAGAGAAGACAGCTGAGGAGTTTGCTACAGAGCATCAAAAAAACAAAACCAAAAGGATCCATCAAAGTTTCGGAAGATGAGCAGTCAGTATGGTAGAAGAAAAATCAGAAGCAAAGGAAAGAAATTGCTTTAAGAAGGATGGTGCTGAACAACGTCATCCAAGTCTGCTTTGTCCAGTAAGACAAAGACTGAGAATTGAACATTGAACGTGGAAAAACATGGCTAAGGAAGTTTCAGGATGATGGAATACACAGAAGTGGTTTCAAGAAGGAATGTGAAGTTAGAAACTGGAGACTGAGTGCAATTCCACTAAATAGGGGCAGAGAAAAAGCATTGTGGCTGAAAGGGAAACCAGGGGAAGGGAGGTTGTTGCTTTCATTTCCTTTAAAACAAGAGATTGTTACAATTTGTTTGCACATGGGTGAGATTGATCTAGCAGAGTGGAGAGAACTAGTGCAGAAGACCCAGTAAAACTGAGCAACCAAGTCCATGATAATAAGAGGGGATGTAGCCACAGTGCTTACAGAGACTGATTTCTGATGGGAAGTTCACTGACAGCAGCAGAAGAGAGGGGAGTACATGGGACAGGTCCAGAAACACTGTAAATTGGATATAGGGAGGAAAATAAACCTCCTGATTGCTTTTTTTTCCTCAATGAAATAGGAAACAAGGTCCTCAGTTAAAACTATGGAAGTGTCAGATGATGTTGGAAGTAAGGAGAGAGAAGGTTTGAGAGCAGCCTGCAAGAGAGTGGAGAATGGACAACCCAAGAAAATATAGGAATATTGCCAGAGTCCATTTGAGATCTGTGATTATGAATTTAAGGTAAGACCAGCAAGTAGAGGTGAATGGTCTCCTCCAGCCATGTAGGAGGACCAGCTCAAGAGTGGATACTGTGCTAGATTTAAATGGGGTTGGGGTTTTGTGAGGTGAGGATGATGGAAAGAGAAAAAGCAAGAGAGCTGAAGACATACGCCAACGACTGATTTTCTTTTTCTTTTTTCTTGAGAGAGGGTCTTACTCTGTCACCCAGGCTGGAGTGCAGTGCCGTGATCTCAGCTCACTGCAACCTCCGCCTCCTGGGTTCAAGCGATTCTTGTGCCCCAGCCTCCCAACTAGCTGGGATTATAGGCATGTGCCACCACGCCTGGCTAATTTTTTATTTTCAGTACAGACTCGGTTTCACCATGTTGGCCAGGTTGGTCTTGAACTCCTGACCTCAAGTGAACTGCCTGCCTCGGCATCCCAAAGTGCTAGGATTATAAGCATGAACCACTGCACCTGGGCCAAGGACTGATTACTTTGATGAACCATAAAGCAGGGCCAGAGATGAGGGGATAGGGACAGTAAGAAAAATAGGAGCATGAATTATCTTACGGTCTTCATGAGGGCACGTGGTTGTTAGAGTGGAGGGAGTCCCACAGGAACATAAGAAATGGGGTCTAGTGAGACACTCAAGGTGAAGTTTCTGAGGTGGAAGAGATATGGATGGTGGCAAATCTAGGAATGAAAATGGAATCGTGTGGCTGAGCTGAGATGGAGAAGTGAGCTGGTTGGGGAACTGAGAGGCCAGGGCTTTTGGTGGATCGCCTACATGTCTGATAAAGTCATCATCTAGACCAATGATGGCAGGAGAGGCAGAGAGAGACACTGGTCTGGGTGAAGTATCCTCAATGAGTTGAGAGGCAGAGGGTTGAGGGTTGATCAGGGTGATGTACATGACTGTGGGAAGAAGGCGTAGGGGTGGCGTATCTACATGGCTTGTGCTTCAACAGAGAAAGGGAGAAAGATGGCCTGAAAGTGGAGATAGGCTGTAACCGTCCCCATGGTGTATGTGATGAGAAAGAACAGTGGACAGCCACAAAAGCGAATCCTCTACTTCAGTTAGTGAAAGAGGAGAAACAGAGGAGGCTTCAGGCTTTGCTGACCAAGCTCAAGTTCCAGGGGCACAGGGAAAATTGGGAGATCCAGGAGGGGTGAGAATGAGTTGAGTTGGATCAGCGCCATGTAGCTATAATATTCTGGATGGTAGTGCATGACCTGGGAGGGCAGGAACAGGGATGATCACATGGCGGGAGGCAGTGCAAGTGGGAAGGTGGTGCGTAATCACCCTCTGTGGAACTGGTTTTAGGGGCAGGTGAGGCTGCAGTGTGTGGAAGGAGTGGTGGTCTTACCAGGAACACATGGAGTATCAGAAGTCTACCTTGAGCTCTGTTGTAGGCTAAAGAGAGACGGCCTAAACTTGGTTTCTGAACTCCAGGAGGTCACAAAGAAAACTATCATAGTCACTGCTCTATCCAGTGCCTGGCCTAGCGTTCTGTCTTGCATTCCTGTCGCTGACTGTGGGTAAGAGGAAGACATTATAAATATCATCCTAGAAATCATTAGAACTAGGTTAGCATGAGCAACTCTGGAACGCCACTACTAGTCATGTGACCTTGGGCAGGTCACTTCACCCCTCTCAGGCCCAGGTTCTGGACATGTGAAAAACAAATACTGTCTACCACCTGGGATTGCTGTGAAGATAAATGATGCCCTGGAATAATTCAAGATTGTGCCTTCACCGTGGTCATGACAGAGCAAATGAAATGGTGGCGGGAAATAGGTTTGAATAATAAAACAAAGTGAATGAAATTTAGTCTGTAGGCTCTCTCTGTAGGCTACAAAAGGCTTTTCTGTCCTGCTTTCTATTTTCAAACTTTAAGACAGACAAACAGAGTAGATCAGATATTATTATACTTGAATATTTCCAGTTTAAGTATCTTTCCTCTCATTAAATTCGTTGAGGTTATTATACTGATTTCCTTCCCTAGCTCTCACATGTTTTGTAGATGTGCTCCAGAGTATAAAGTAGATGTATAGGAGGTGCATCAGTATTCTCAGCCAGCTTGCTCATGGCAGAGTTTTAAAAATTCATAAACACAATAATAATGCGGTAGCAATTTTCAGGCATAAAACTGTATATGGTCCAAAGTTTCATGGGGTACATAAATAACTAAGATCTCCATATGTCAAGATCATTTTCTAGATGCCAAGAAAATTATTCATTCGAAAACATAATAGATGTTCTTCCTTTACATGTGCACAAAATGACATTATTTTTGGACTCGTCAAACTTGTTAAGAGCAGTCAGATAGATTCTTTGCAGAGCAAACCTGGAATTGAAACAATGATTGACCAACACCACGACTTTTGCATCTCTAACTCTCTACTTGGCCTCACATACTTGGGCTCATTTACATTCAGAGCTTTCCCATTTTCAGTGATCAAAGTCCTGGGTGGTTTCACTTTCTTCTTTTTTTCACTTAAGATTGGTGGTGGGTGAGAACAAGAAGCAGTGTGGGGAGAAAAAAATAAGCAAAGAGAATATATAATTAATACGTTTTTGTGAAACAGTTTAAGAAAACTTAATTGAACTTTTATGAACACATCAACAATTCATTGTTCTGAGGTCCATTCCTTGAATTCTATGCTGAGAACTGACAATCAAACCAGATTTTTTATATGGTTGTATCTGTATCTGTACAGCAAAAAATGACCAAGACAATTTGCCAGATAATTTGAATGGGGGAAGAAAACTCCTTTTCATGACTATCTATTAATATTTAAATAAGTCTATTTTATACATTATTTACCCAGATAACTGTTAACTCTCCATTTGTGTATAGAGCTTCTGCTTTAGCTAAAACACAATTAACATACCAAGTAGAATCTATTCAATACAAATAAAAATACCAGCACATAAAAATCTATGTAAGAGGATATTTCTCGCTGCATTATTTACAGTGGCAAACCCCTGAACTGTTCTCAATGTCCATCAGTGGAGGAATGGTCAGATCAACTGTGCTTCACTCATGCTATAAAATATTTTGCAGCTATTTTAAAATGTGTTTTTTCTTTACCTATTGATTTAGAAAAGTGTTGATGATTTTTTTTTTTTTTTTTTTAAGATGGAGTCTCACTGTATCACCTAGGCTGGAGTGCAGTGGCACAATCTCAGCTCACTGCAACCTCCGCCTCCCAGGTTTAAGCGATTCTCCTGCCTCAGCCTCCCGAGTAGCTGGGTCTACAGGTGCGCACGACCATGCCTGGTTAATTTTTGTATTTTCAGTACACACAGGGTTTCACCATGTTGGCCAGGATGGTCTTGATCTCCTGACCTCATGATCCGCCTGCCTCAGCCTCCCAAAATGTTAGGATTACAGGCATGAGCTACCGTACACAGCCTGATGATATATTTAGTAAGAACAAATATATAAGATATAAATCCATTTTTGTTTTACAAAAGACCCCACATCTTACATTTGCAGAGATAATTTATACAGCTATAAAGGGTAAGAAAATATGTAGTGAGATCAACCCAAGCCTGTTGACACTCATTACATTGAAGGGTTGGATAGGAGGTAAAGAAAGGAAGCAAATAATAGAAGATTAATGGAGTAATATGGAATAAAATGCAGTATGTAATTCTATTTAAAAGACTACCGAAAATATATAGAAGCTTAAACAGGCATATGTGGACAATATCTAGATCAGATGGACAAATTTGTTTAGATGACGGAATTGCTGGCAATTCTCTGCCTTAAATTTCTATTATATTTTTAATATAGATTTTGTGACAGTTAGCTTTATTTTGAAAAAAATCATTCACATTCTTCTGCATCTTAAACTGGGCCTCCAGATCTAATGGATTTAATATTTCAGTGATCCAGGACAATTAAGGGGCATCCACAAGTCCTTGGCTTCACCCTACTCAGTGTAAAGCAGATCACAGTTAGGAACAAAAGATTTCTTTTGTCTCTGTTTACATCCAGTTAATAAAAATGGCAATACAATCAGAGGCAAACATCTCAGGAACCCACTGGATTGGGCAAACTAAGATGTCCAAAACAGAGTGACTCAGATCTCTATTCAATTCAGCCTTACTTTCTTAGATGTCAGGGAGTAAAAAAATTTCTCCTGATTTCAGGCTCAATATATAATAGATTATATATTTTATATATATATATATGTGTGTGTGTGTATATATATATATATATATATGACCACAGATACATAAGTATAACATATGTGTGTGTGTATGGGTATATATGTATGAAATATATCACATTCTATAAACATGTAGAACTTCCATTTTAAAGGGCTCTTGAGTCAGCAAAGCACTTTCACATGTATAGGCTCATCTGATTTTCTTACCAGCACAGTGGGGTAGGTAAGACAGGTATGATAATCCCTGTTTAGCAGATGAAGAAACAGATGAGAAGTTAGGTACTTGCCAGCATCATACAGAGGGTAATAATGGAGTCAAGACATGCATATACAATCTTATTCAATGCTTTTCCCAAAGGACTGTGTGGTCCCTTAGTGTGTAAATCACAATGTTTTACAAACAAGTATTTTAGATAAAATTTAATTTTTTATTGTTTTACCTCTCTATACTTCTAACTAATAAAAATTGTATAAAAGCAGCTGAGGGCCGGGCACGGTGGCTCAAGCCTGTAATCCCAGCACTTTGGGAGGCCGAGGTGGGTGGATCATGAGGTCAAGAGATCGAGACCATACTGGTCAACATGGTGAAACCCCGTCTCTACTAAAAATACAAAAAATTAGCTGGGCATGGTGGCGTGTGCCTGTAATCCCAGCTACTCAGGAGGCTGAGGCAGGAGAATTGCCTGAACCCAGGAGGCGGAGGTTGCGGTGAGCCGAGATCGCGCCATTGCACTCCAGCCTGGGTAACAAGAGCGAAACTCCGTCTCAAAAAAAAAAAAAAAAAAGCAGCTGAGATTTCAAATTTTTTTTTTAACTTCTAGTTTCTTGCTTTTAGTTGTTAATCACAGGGAGAGATATTGTGTTTTGTTTCACTTGAGTCATTGCCATGCAGATTACTATATTTCAGGGCTAATCTATTACATTCTCAAGCTCATGAATAATAAGTATTCCCATAAGTGATATATTTTACATACTAGACTTAAGCAATGACATGAAATGGAATGATATAAAACCTATTTTTGAAAAAGCTGCTCTGAAAATAATAGCATAAAAATCTTGACTTCTAATAAATCATCAAATTATATGTCAACAACTCAAGAGTGAAATCATGCTGTTAAGTGTCCAAAAAAGTTGTATTAGAAAAATAAAATGTCTAATGAAACTAATTTCCAATTCTTCACTTTGTAAATTAATAGAACAGACTCAAAAAGGAGCCCATTCATTCCACAAAATGATCTTTCTCTAGGCTAGAAATACTAATGTATTAGTGTACCCTAATATACTATTATTAGGTATATTTAAAGTGGTGAAAAGGTAAAAACATTCAAACAAACAAACCTCTACCTAAAATGTCATAATTCATGATGTTCTAAAGAAGGTACTTTGATATTAATGAGTGTTAGCCAATCCAAATCAATAAGAAGCTATACTTGGAAAAAACAATATCTATATATGAGTGTTAAAGGTTTAACACAAATAATGGGAAAAATAATAGGCAATCATGAAAGTCTAGTCCATAAGTTGAGTACTGTTTCCCTCTCATAGGAAAGAATGAAATACCTTAATTTTTCCTGATTTTTCCGTTGTTTTTCCATGTGTCTAAGAGTTTCCAATCTTGATTCAGGAGTAAACAAACAGGGCTTATTCCAGAATTCCAAATCATCTTCACTTGTGTCTAATTTCTTTGTGCTGTGTTCTTGTATGTCTGCTGGCTGTAGGTGGTCTTTTCTCTCTAAAGAGGAACTAGGAAAAACAAACACAGCACTTAAGAACACTAAGGGATTCATGACCTTCATCCTTAATGCTGCCCCTTTAATAGTCTATATACTTTTCTCTCGCTCTGTCACCCAGGCTGGAGTTCCGTGGTGCCATCTTGGCTCACTGCAAACTCCACCTCCTGGGTTCAAGCGATTCTTCTGCCTTAGCATCCCAAGTAGCTGGGACCACAGGCACGCACCACCACACCTATCTAATTTTTGTATTTTTAGTTGATACAGGGTTTCACCATATTGGCTAGGCTGGTCTTGAACTCCTGACCTTGTGATCCGCTAGCCTCAGCCTCTCAAAGTGCTGGCATTACAGGCATGAGCCACTGTACGCAGCCCTATCTTTTTTACCTTTGAATGACAAAGTGACTCTGAAAGACAGTCTCTCCAAGCCTGGTTGGAGGAAATTACTGCCATAGCATCGGGGTAGGCTTTCATCCTCTATCACCAGGAATAATGTGGTAATCAGATTCCAGGGTTCACAGACCTGACTGCTAAGAGTCACCTGGGGAGCTTTATAACAAGTACAGATTCCTGGGCTCTCATCAGAAAGTCAGTTTGCTAGATCTGAAGCAGGGCCTAGGAATCTGTTTTATAATATTTTGCAGGAGATTCTGATGATCAGACAAGCAATCACCCCATCTTTAATCTTGTACCTGTCAATTACACTCTCCACACTACTCCCAGCGGGACTTTTCTAGCAGGCAATTTGGATCACATTATTTCCAGGGTTTTTAATGATTCTCTTATCTCCCAAATTCGCTTGTGGGACATATGATACTTTTTATGGTATAGCTTATGCCTAGTTTATTTTTCATGGATAACTTCTGATTATGTGGCTTTATATGGCAACAGTTCTCTCTTCTCTTTTATTCATGTTTTGTGGACTCTCAGAGAATTAAACAATATCTCTGTATGCCATCAAATAGGTATTATATGAGATATTCAACATTTGTTCAACATGGATCCAAGAAATATTTATTGAGCATCTTCTGTGATGCCAGGTACCAGAGATACAACCCTGGCCAAGACAGACCACGATTCCACTTTCAGAGATTCTGTTCTTGTGGCAAGAGAATGACATCATTCAGGCAATAAACATTAGGTACAGTCTCTCTCCCCTCACCTCTCCCTAGAATTGACACTTCATTAGATAACATTAATGTAACAAATTACATAAATCCTTTAATACCAACTATAGCAAATAGTAAGTACTCAATACATGTTGGGTTTTGTTATTGAATCAGGTGACAGGAAAGGTTCCTTTCTTGTTGATCTTCAAACTAAAGATACTTTATTCATTTTGAAAAAATATTTTCAAATATATTTTATTTTGAAAATATTGTGAGAGATATTTTTCAAAGGGATGAACCAAAATACTAGAACATGAAATTTAAATAACATAAATGGAATGTAGAACAAAAATTCTGCTATATTATTTATAGATACAACTAAATATTTTAATAAGCAAAATAACGCAAATTTCTGAAAATAAATAAATTGCTTGCTATGCAGCTATTGTTCTTTATGGCATTGAAAGAATAATTATAAAGAGGATCTATAATATTCTACAATATTCTAGATAATTGCAACTGAAATAATTGGTTCCATTGTCATTTAATCATTTAAATTATATTTTTCCTGGAAAGTAACTAATTGGTTCAATCTGGCCTTTTGCAATATAAAATAATAATTATAAAAAACATAAAAATAACAGTGCTTAAGAAAAACTATCAGAGATATGAGCTAAATAACATAAGTCTCCAAGGCAAAATGCATATAAATGTGTATAACTGGTTATGAAACAGAGTGAGCTCATTAGCGTAGGATCAAAAAAACTTTCTCTTCAACCACTGCCCTCAAATCTGCTCTCTCAGAACTCTCTTCTCATCCACGAGCAGATCCCACAGCTCTACTGTCACTTTCAAGAACAGCATAATCTCAGCTAAACACTCACTTTCAGGTACTAAAGGGTCTACAGTTTGAATAAAAGTTCAGACCTAAATATCAAATCGGAGCCATTCCCTCCCTCTCCAACCCATTCTCTCTCCTGGCCCTGTTCCAGATTGGGGTGTGCATGGGAAGAGGGACACCCTCTCCTTCTACTTCTCATTGTCCTCCACTCCTTCCCCTGAATCCCATACCACCGGGCCTCTTACGTTCAGAGGCTTCCTGTCTTTAGAATTTGGGGCCTGGGATGATGAAGGAGAAGAAGATGAACATCTCTTATATGACCACTCCTATTATAACCTGGCCATTGCTACCCTCGCTGGGACCAATATCCAGATACTGGCCTTCTCTTCCTGCGAGCACCTTTGTCATTCTTGGAGACAGCACAAGAGCCTTCCAAGTGTACTGTTCACTGTTGGGGGGTCAATATGCATCTCTTCAAGACAGCTCAAGCCCAGCATCTTCTACCATGTCTACTTGGCCTGTAAGATATTCACACATCCCTGCCATGTGAAATGCTTAAAGTGTAAGCTGCTTCCATTAATACCTTCTTTTCTGATTCCTCTGCTCCAGGCCACTTTCTATGTTTTCCATTTTCTAGGTTGGAAGCAGGCTCTACCTAGTCAAGAGGTAGATGTTCATCTCCCTTTCTTGCAGCCTCTGATTCTCTGCAGTGTTTCTTCTTTCAGCCTTGAGAGGGGAATAGCCTCCTACTCCTTCCCAACTAATTAGACAATTCAGTATTTCAATGATTCTCCTCCAGAATGTCTACATTTCTATTCAAATAGGCTAAATAAGGTAAGAGTGGCAAAGGCCCAACGATCAGTGAGGCCTATGGGGGAGGCAAGAAGGCACCTGCAAGAAACCCCACTGTAAGCTTCCACTAAGATACAAGAAACAGATCATTTTAACTTTTGTAAACTTTCATCAACCAAGGATAATGAATTATTCCCAAGATATTTTGTGTGCCCATTATATAACTCTGATGCAAAACACCAGGAAAAAATACAATGAGAAAAGGTTATCATAGCATAAACTCACTTATGAACAAAGGTTCAAATAGTATAAATATTGGCAAAATCAGTGCAGCAATGCATTAGTAAATAATCATAGGCAAAGAATGTTTATCCTAGAAATTCAAGGATGGTTTAATTTTAGAAAATCTATTAATGATATTCAACACAGTAATAGAAAAACACTATTATCTCAATAGATTCAGGGAAAACATTTAATAAAAATCCAATATAATGCTTGTGATGATAAAAGCTCTTTATCAGCTAGGAATAGAAGGAAGCTTACTTAACATGATCCAAAACTTATAGCAAATATTATACTTAATGAGAAATTGCAAACATTCTTTCTAAGTCAGAAACAAGATACAGATACGCATTCTTAATGCTACTGTTACACCTCATTCTAGAGGCCTTTGCAGGCACCATGAAGAAAATAAAGTAGAAGGAGAGGGACTGGAAAGAAATGTTCAAGTTACTGCTTATAAACAATGTGTTTTTCTACCTAGAAAATGCAGGATTGCATCTTTTATAAAGGTCAGTAAGATTAATACATTATCAGTATACAGAAATAATTTGTCTCTTTAAATGTCAGAAAAACCAATTACATCTGTTTTTAAAATCTCATTCTACAAGATACTGAGAAATTAATACAAAGAAAGATGGTTTAAGACTTTTATAGTGAAAATTTAAAACCTTACTGAAGGACTCAGAAGAAGATCTAAATAAATAGAGCTCTTCCCAAGTTTAGGAAGGAAAGAATCAATGTCATGAAGATGTCAACTTTTCCCCAATTAACATATAAATTAAATGCAATTTCAATTACAATTCCACTAGGGATTTTTAAGGAATTTGATTAGCATTGGATTCTAAAACTTATACAGACAAGTAAAGAACTAAAAAATAGCCAAGATAACTTTGAAAAATGAGAATATCTCCTACCAAATATCATGATATGCTATAAATCTATACAAATTAAAACCAGGTAGAAGTGCTACCATGGAACAGTCTACTAGGGAACTCAGAGATGAACCCAGGAATATGTGTTTAGAAGGGATATAATAGGGGCGGGACTTCAGATCAGAGGGAAAAGAACAGCACCTTAATAAAGGGTACAGAGACAATTAGCTACCCATATGAAAAACAATTAGTACCCTACCCTATATATCAACAAAGGTTAGTTCCAGATACAGAGATACAAACAGATAGGGCACTGGGATAAAGAATTCCATAAACAAGATGAAAATGTACAAATAAGTTTTTTTTCCCATTTATTTATTTTATTGCATTTTAGGTTTTGGGGTACATGTGAAGAACATGCAAGATTGTTGCATAGGTACACACATGGCAGTGTGATTTGCTGCCTTCCCCCCATCACCTACATCTGGCATCTCTCCCCTTGCTATCTCTCCCCAGCTCCCCACCTCCCACCATTTTTAAATTTTATAAAACATAAGAAGCTCTTATAATTAAAGACAAGTCACAGACTGGGAGAAGACACTTGCAAAGCACATAACCACCAACGAATATATTTTTTATATTTGTATCCAGAATATAAAAGAACCATCAATAACAAAAAAGACTTAACAACTTATTTAAAATAAGTAGGGGAATTGAATAGAGGATATCTGAATAACCAATAAACATATAAGAAGATATTTAAAATATTCAAATTCACTAGTAACTATAGAAATACAAATTAAATTTTAAAAAATAGAGGATACTTAATAGCAAACTTGATTGGCCAATATTTTTAAACATCATCTAGTATTGGCAAAGATTGAAAACTGTTGTATATTGCTGATATATAAGTTATTACAACTACTCTAGCAAACAATTTGGCAATACATATAAAGCTGAAACGACGTCAAAACTGTCGTAGCAATGCCATTGCTAAATGCCCTGGAGAAACCTTCATACCTGAACAAGGAGACATGGGCAACATTACTTGAACATCTCAACAAATGTTCAATGTGGATTCAAGAAATATTTATTGGGCATCTTCTGCTGTGCCAGGCACCGGAGACACAACCCTGGCCAAGGCAGACTGTGATGCCACTTCCAAGAGATTCTATTCTTATGAGAATAGGGAAAACAACGTGCGTAGCCATCCAAAGAGGGATGGCTGTGTCCAGGCTGACCAGCCAGCACCACTAGGAGGACCACACGTGTTGTTAGAGCTGCTGCACATTCTGATTAGTCAGGGCAAGAGAAACACTGGCTATTAACTATTTTGAATATGCCCTCTGGAATAAATTATAATTCATTCATCCAACAGGATATTATTCTATATTTAAAATGAATTAGTTTTACATGTGTTCATATGCATAAATCTCAAAAACATAATGTTGTATAAAAAGCGAAGCTATATAAAGATATTATTCATGCTAAGCACACATACTCAAACTACTCTTGTTTAAGGAGGCATACTTGTGAAATAAAGGGATTAAAAATATGGATGGGATTAGCATATATCACATACAGGTATGCTCCAGCTTCAGGATAGCAGATGCCACAGGGATGAAGAGAGGAATGGAATGAAGGGGAACTACTTAAGGAGCTTCTATTCTCTTAATGGTATTTTATATCTTATTTTAAAAGATCCAAAGCAAACATGCAAACTATTGTCACTGATTAAATCTAGTTGGTAGAACTACAAGCTGCCTATATAACTATTTTCAAATATTTATGTATGCCTGAAATGTTTTATAATTATTATTTCCTTAATTTTAAAGGATTCTGTTATATAAATACTTAACACTTTCACTGTGTAGAATCATATCAACTGACCATAGTTGCAATTCACTTAAACAAACATGAAAATTGTAATTTGTTTTAAAAACCAATTAAAGAGTTATTAATCACATTAAAAATGTATTCAGTATACAATTCAGAAACCAGAATGTCTTATGATGCAATTAGAATTATTCAATTTATAATAATGTGATTTGTATTTAACTTTTCTAAAATATTCCTAGTTGGTAAATCAAAGTACACCTATTAATTCATCTTTTCTGTATATATTTTATGGAGATTTCTCTGAGAATAATTTTAGATGCAAATTAAAATTGCTAGTTTAAAAAGGAATCTTCCCCCAAGGGAAGAAAGTCTTACAGAATTGTCACAAGCAACGAGATGCTCATATTCTTCCATCCAAAATTCAGATCATATTTTATTCTTCAAATTAATCTGGAATATACATGTACTGCAAACAACTTGGAAAAAGAACACAGTTTGCTGCTTTTAACAAAAGTTAAATAGAAAGTAAACTAATCATTTACATACAGAGTAGAATTGATGTCTGTGTACCAACGTCCATCAGAGCCTGGGTTACTTCTCTTGTCTTCATTTGTATCCTCTTCTTGATGCTTCCTCTGAGCCTCTTCCTTGAGTTTGGCTCTTTTAAGGCAGTGATCTTTTTCCTGCTCTCTGATTTGTGGTTCAATTACCGAATAGTCCTGCAATGCCTTAATCCTTTCTGAAGGCTCTATTTCTTTACCATCCAACCACTTAAATAAAGAACAATAAATATAGTACAATTGTTCAAAAGTTGCAGTGTGAATCAGCCCCAGGTTGATTTTGATTAGAACTTTTTAAACTTAGAAATAATAACATACCACAGTGATAGAAAATTAAAACAATGTAATTAATGGGAAATATCAGAACTTTGGTCTAAATCAATGTTTATTTATACAATTAACACAGTTTAAAAAATACCTTTACTGGTAATAATAATAACTAGATCTTCTGTCAAAACTGATAATATAAGCTCTCAAAATATTTTATGTTAATTTTATAATTGCTCACTATGTCAAAAATTTCAATGCTTAAGTCAAATCATAGCCTCAGAGTATAACAATGACACTTCCCAGAAGCTCTCTACAGAAAAAAATGGCCTTGAATATTACACATGAGTGGACTCTAATACAAATGAGCCCATGTTTCACCTTTAACAACAAGACAAACAGACAGGCTACTGTTATAGCATTGTTTACATCTGACATTTCAATTATGATTTTCCAGAGTAAAATATTAAAACCATCAACTAAAGTCTAAAATGTTAAAACTAACAGTTTAAAGACACCTATTTATCTACCCAACCTTATTCTGTGAAATGAGGCAAGGTATTTAGGAAGGTGTGGTTGGAGGATAATGGTTCCCCAAGAATGTCCATGTTCTAATCTCCATGAATGTTACCTTACGTGGCAAAATGGGCGTACAGGTATGATTAGGTTAAGGATCTTGGATAGTCAGGGTGATTCTCATAAGGATTACTGAGGTCCTTGTAAGTAAAAGAGAAAGGCATGAGTGTCAGAGTTACGGAAAGATGTGAAGATGGCTTTGGAGATGGAGGAAGAGGCCATAAGCCTAAAAATGCAGGTGCCCTCTAGAAGCTGAAAGGGGCAAAGTAAGGGGTTCTCTCCTCGAGCCTGAAGAAAGAATAGCCTTGCCAACACCTTGATTTTAGCCCAGTGAAACCATTTCAGGCTTTCGATCTTTAGAACCATAAGGTAATACATTTGCATAATTTTAAGTCACTAAGTTTGCCTCAATTTGTTGCAGCAGCAATAGGAAACATATAAAAGGAAAAAAACCACACACAAAGATTTGGTAAAATATAAATTAAAAAATTATTGGGATCAGCTAAATTATAAGTCACAATTATGTGGAGATTTAGAAAAAATAATTCCAAATATGCTCTGGTCATAAGAACTCATATGGTTGCTATAGATGGGCTGCAGATTTGGTTCCAAGCTTCTTGGCAGCCAAAGTGAAATAGAAAAACAAAATTAGTTACAAAATTTTCATGGTCTTTAAGGAAAAAATACAGTTTGTAGCTTTCCTGTAACGTAGCTCTAAAACACATTTCTAGCACAGAGTTTCATAATGGAGATCTTGAGAGATGTCAAGCATCGTTTCTGTAGAAATATGTCCACACAATCCCAGATTTCATAAGGGTGTTTCTTGTAGTATCCTTCAATAAAGGTATCTTCATACCATTATGTATGAGACCATAATGATAAAATTCAATACAACAAAACCTATTATTTAAGGTGTTAAGTAATTGTGGTCCACATACTTAATCTGATCTACTTTAATACAGGGTTGGGACTGAATCAATTTGGAAAATTTTAGATAAATGAAATGTACTTATTTTGTAAGTACATATAATAAGTAAATATACTATATATAAATATACGAATAAACAAATTAAAATATATTTATATATGAATAATACTATATAAATATATTACTTTCATAAATTTCTAAGTCATCCAATTTGTGGTACTTCATTATATTACTTTATATAGTATAATTTATATATAAATATATATTATTAACATAAATGCACTACATACAACTGTATTATTATAACAAGTTAGAAAATCTGAATAAATATAATTTTTTTCAACTGGGATTTCTTCTCAAGAGAACGTTGGGGAGCAAGATGATATTTTCTTCCTTGTAATTGAAGTACATTCATTGATTGATTGATTTCTGTCTTTATAATTGGTTTAAGTCAATATTGATTTAATTAGAACTACTATTCCTAAAAGGCTATGACAACTGAATCCTCTGTCACTTTACTAACAGGAGGCAAAAGATCTCATATTAGTAACTGATGACAATTTCGGGACTGTACACCAGCACCTATCCTAGGAACCTAACTCTTTTAGTGATTTCTGTTAGTCTTTGAAATTGGCCTGCATTTCCTTCAAGCCAAAATCACATCTGAGTTAAAAGGCCTAAGAAACAGAGATTACGGTTTTGGTTTTTTGTTTTTTTTTTTTTTTTTTTTTTTTGAGACGGAGTCTTGCTGTGTCGCCAGGCTAGAATTCAGTAGTGTGATCTCAGCTCACTGCAAGCTCTGCCTCCTGGATTCAAGCCATTCTGCTTCAGCCTTCTGAGTAGCTGGGATTACAGGTGTATGCACCACACCTAGCTAATTTTTGCATTTTTAGTAGAGACTGGGTTGCCCCATGTTTGTCAGGATGGTCTCGATCTCCTGATCTCAGGTGATCTGCCCGCCTCAGCCTCCCAAAGTACTGGGATTAAAGGCAAGAGCCACCACACCTGGCCTCAGAGATTAAGTTTTAAGCTGAGCATTTCTTCATCTTCCTTCACTCAGGATTCATGCAGCACAAAGGTAGAGTATTCACACTTATTGATAATAACTGTAGAAGTGCTGGAGTGGAGAAAGGGACACTAAGATGTACTGATGGCCTCATAGAACTCGCTTAAAGTAGTAATGATGATCCCACTATACATGAGTAAAATGAGGCATGCAATTCACAGGCAGTGGAAGCAGCTGTCAGACCCTGGTTTCTCTGCTAACAAATCTGTTTCGCACCATACTGCAGGGCCTACCTACTCCTGTGGTGGCTCAGCGACTGGGAAGAAAATCCTCGAAAAGGGCTGACTCTCCTGACTCTCCTCACACCTCTTCTATGTGACTATCTAAAATAACTACTCTGCTGTTATGGGTTGAATTGGGACCCCCAACAAAAAAAGATGTTGAAGTCCTAACCCCTAGTAGCTCGAATCATGGACTTTTTGGAAATAGGATGATTATCGATGTGATTCCTTGAGACCAAATCATCCTGAAGCAGGCAGGTCCCAAGCGAATATGACCAGTGTCTTTATAAAGAGAGCCTTGTAAAGAAGAAGGCAGAGACCCTTAGGGTGATGTGTCTACAAGGTCGAGAATGCCAAAGACTGGCTGGCAAATCACCAGAAGCTAGGAGGGAGGTATGGAACAGATTCTCCCTCACAGCCCTTGGAAGGAACCAACCCTGTCAACAACTTGAACTTTAACGTGAGGGCTTCAGAACTATACGATGATACATTTCTGTTGTTTAAGCCTCTAGTCTGTGGTACTTCGTTACATCAACCCTGGGAAAATAATACATTAATTAACACAATTCCTTTCAAGCAGTTCAGCTTTCAATGAAATGGTAATTAAGATTCTAAAGTATATCAGCCTATTTTTAAATATTAGTAAATATGTTAATACTATTTTCAAAAGGGGGCTGTTGATTTGGAGAAGTCCTTCTGAAAAGAAAGGCTTTATCCAAAGCCTGTAATTTGACCTAAAGAGAAGCAGTGAGTGCGGGTATAGTATGAATGGTGGAGGTATCAAGGTTGGACTCACATAGGTTCAAATCCCACCTGTTTCCCTTGCCAGATGTGTCAGCTTAAACCAGCAGCATTAATTCCCTGAGCCCTGACTTCCTCATCTCTGAACACACCTGTCCCCTGCATGGGTTTGGAAGCATCAGAAACACTGTGCATAAAGCACCTCATGGCACAACCTCAGACCCTGCCTGCAGCAGCCACGTGACAGCTGTCACACCTCTAGCCTGCTCACTGCAATACTGGCACAGGCTCCACTGCAGCGGCCACGAGGACTTCTGGGCCCTTATCCCTTCCAAGGCAATGGCTCACAGCATTATACTACAAGATCTGGTTCTATGATAGTCAGGTTCTCACCAATTCATTTTCTAGGAAATCATTGCATAATAATGATCAGTTTAGGTTACGTTTGAGACAATTTATCATTTATTTTATATTCAATTACCAGAATCACTCATTCTCTTAAATTGAGAAATTTTACATTAGAAGAAATGTGTTCCATTAATCCAGCAGTCAGCAATCTGTTGACTACAGAGAACACAGAAGGCTAAGAAACAAATGTCCTTTGAGAACTGAAAAAATGCCTGTTGTAAAGGTGATGTCTCCATGCATTCTCTTTGCAAAAACACAGAACCACACGCAGGCTGGGAACTCTTAGAATTATATGAAACTTAACACTGCTGTTCTAATATTCTCTGTTGTATGATTTCTCAAGAAATCACATTTTTTTTCCTCAGTTCTAAAATTATTTGACTGGGGGGATATGGTATAAGAGTAACATACACAGCAGTGGTTGTCAAATGAGGTCCCTGCACCAGCAGCAGCATTACCAGATTTTGTTAGAAATGTGAAATCTCAGGCCCCATGTCAGACGTGACCCAGAAACCCTGGGGGAAGAGCACAGCAGTGTGTGTTTTGAAAAGGCTTCCACATGTTCTGAGGCACAGCAAGGACTGTGAACCTGAGGGGCGTGGTGGCTCATGCCTATAATCCCAGCACTTTGGGAGGCCGAGGTGGGTGGATAACTTGAGGTCAGGAGTTCAAGACCAGCCTGACCAACATGGTGAAACCTCATCTCTACTAAAAATACAAAATTAGCCTGGTATGGTGGCACATGCCTGTAATCCCAGCTACTTGGGAAGCTGAGGCAGGAGAATCACTTGAACCCGGGAGGCGGAGGTTGCAGTGAGTTGAAATCTTTCCATTGCACTCCAGCCTGGGCAATAAGAGAACAAGAGCAAAACTCCTTCTCAAAAAAAATAAAAATAAAAAAAGACTGTGAGCCACTGCTATAGAGAATATGTTAAGAAAAAGCAATGATAAAAATAATTACAAAAGCACAGTAGCTTAAGACTATGTAATATAAAGGTATGTAATATGTAATATAAAGCTGTAGCTACCTCTAAAACCCTAAACTTCTGGCTTGCTGTATGTAATAATGAATTCTAATCAGTAACGATGAATCTTCTGCGTCTATGATTTGAACTCACTGAGAAAAAGTCAAATTAAGTTCTGTATGTTTCGGATGAGAAAGGTGAAAAGTATGCAATTTATTTTTCAGGGATTTATTACAACTATTCAAACAGTATTAAAGGTCTAGCCATTTAAATAATTACTTTGGGCTCTCTGGAATATTCCATTATCCGAAGCAACACCTTCACTGTTGTTACAACTAAAGCAGGAATTATTGTAGTTGCTCATGTTCATTTCTCCGTGATTTCTGTGCCATTAAAATAACCATACCTTTAATTGTGGAAGAGTTGCTACCACGAACTCCCTATAGTGGTCAAAGGAAGCACATGGGTTCCCCATGAGAAACAGTTCCTTCAGATGGATATTGTGCTTCAAGGTTTTAATGCTGCTCAGCTCTCCAATGAAATTTACAGTCAAGTCAAGTTTTGCCAGTTCTTCACATCCTATTGAGAAAAATAAAAAGAAAACAAAGCAAATAAAGAAAAATCACAGTGGTAATAAACCGTGTGTAATAGCACATAATGGAAGTAACAGCTGTAGTATTTTTAGTCTGCTGATTTATTGCATTGCTTACCATGAAGTGATTCTTCAGAAATATCAACTCAAAGGCTTCATCTTAACTGATTTTTCTATCTCTGTCTCCCCTTATTTTTACCCCCTGAGTCCTTCCAGCCAGGGGAAATGATTTTCCCTGCTCACATTTGCGAGGCTGGTAAATGTTTTGATCTGGTCACTATCCGGCATGAAAAAAGCAAAAGGACAAGCTGCGACTACAGTGGGTGCTGCCTCCGAACAAAACTCCTAGTAGGCAGGGTCCCTGGAAGCTGTCCTCCTGAGTTTTAGCAGGTCGGCAGGACACATTTCATCTTGGAGGGTGATAGTGGAACGTTTCTCCAAAAAGAAGGGCATGTCATAAAACCAGTGCATCAGAACCAATATTTGCAAAGTCACCTAGCAGAGAGAGAATGGCTCCAAGGCCACTGAGAACTGAACTGAAGGTATTAACAAAGGTAAAGAACAAGATGCTTTGATGCTCAAAGGAATAATAGAAAAAGGGTGAGTCACTGAAATAGGGTTTTATAGTAAATCTGACCCATCTACCTTCGTTACAGAGATAGCCAGCCAGATGCTAAAGAAACCTGAATCAAATTCAAATTGGAATTTGAATTAATCCCCTCATTCACATTCCATGCGAACTTGGTGGATAGGAGTCCACACTTAGGAATTAGACAGATACGAGTTCAAGTGCTTCCTCTACCTCATCTTTGCTAATGTGACCTTGGATAAGTTACAAGCTTCAGCCCCCTCATCTATAGAATTATAATGGTATTAGTACTGGAGTCCGAAGTTGTGAAGATAATAAGATGACTCATGTAAAGCGCTTAGCATAAAGCTTGCCACCTAGAGTATCAGTAAACATGATGATTAGAATAGCTCAGTGAGCCCTCTAATTATCATAGGACTTCGTGGAAAATGTACCTACAGGGAAAGAAGCAAGTACAGCTGTCTCATGAGCAGAAACCTTGTAGTTTCTTTCCGTGAACTAAGAAGAGTTGACCCGGTTTACACAGCAGCCTTTGTGGGCTTGGTTCAATATAAGATTCTCTCTCCCTATGACTGCTTCATGTTTGTGGGATTAACATGGCAGATTTTGCAACCTTCAATGTCTAGAAGGCCATCCCCAGCTAAACCCCAGGTCTACCTCGCTCTCACTTACTTCTTCAAAGTTCTACATGCTCTTCCATTATGATTCATGTATTTTCTCTATTTAAATGTTCTTATAACATTAAATATTTAATAAGAAATTCAGTTGGCTCAGGTGAAAACTAAAGGAAAAGCAACTTTAAAGATAATTGAGCAAGGGAGGGAAAAAATGGAATTGACAAGACAGAGTGTAGGTGACTATTATAGTTGGACATTAAATTCTGGTAAATATAATTACATGGCATAAAATAAATAAGCACAGGTAGAAAGAGACCCAATGTAGAAAAATTGTCAAGCAAACTCTAATACATCTATTCAATATTTAATGCTATAAGAACATTCAAAATGATGGTTATGAAAGCTATCACAGCATGGAGGAGGAGAGTTTATGACATAATAAAAGTGGAAAAAGTAAGATATAATATCACCCATACACTAAAATTACAGCAATATAAAATACAGAAAAAAATTAATATACCAAAATGATAATAGCAATGGTGGAATTAAGATTAAACATCATTCTGTTTCTTAAAATTTTGCAACATGGTTATATTTGAGATTTAACAGTGTATAAATAGAGAAAATACATGAAACTGATAGAAAACTAAGATATAAGTTAGCATAGTTTTCTCAAATGTCCTAAGTATGCTCCAGGTACATGATATGCTTATTAACTACATGGCTAATATTTATTTGGTGTTTATTATGCCCTTTATACACAGTATCTTATTCAATCCTAACATCATGTCTATGAGAGAAATATCACAATTATTATCTTTATTTTAAGGTCAGATAACTCAGTGTGGGCCCTTGGCTCCAAGATGCCCATTATCATGTGCACTCATGCCATTTCTCATGGAGAGATGGCATCAAGTCCTTCTCCTTTGCTCTGCGTTGGGGCTGGCCCTAGTGACTTGCCTGACCAAGAGACTACAGCACCAGTGAGGTTTTTGGGCTGCCTAGACATCTGAAACTCTCACACTGGAAGGACTGCCCTAAGAACAATTGCTCTAGGACATGTCCGAAGCCATATCAAGTGTCTGGCTACCTTCACTTCACTGTGCTCAGAGACCCTGAGCCACCTGGAGAATCATAAAAGCAGTGAGGGAGAACAAAATCTGCTTCTGTGGAAAGAAACACACCAAGAAGCAGTGCCAGATGGCAACTAAGGCAACCATCTTGGAAGTGGATCCTCCAGCATCAGCTGCTTCTGGGATCTATCTGGCAATATATACTTGAAACTGCAATGCAAATGAGCTAGGAAATTACCAGAGTTTACATGGCTCTAAAGGGATGAGTTGGGATTTGGACCCAGGTCCAAAGATTCTCTGAACTGGTACGTTAGAGCAGCAGTCTCCAGCCTTTTTGGCACCAGGGACTGGCCTCATGGAAGACAGTTTTTCCACGGATAGTGGATGGGATGGTTTCAGGATGAAACTGTTTCACTTCAGATCATCAGGCATTAGTTAAGTTCTCATAAGAGCACACAACCCAGGTCCCTCCCCTGATCAGTTCACAATAGGGTTCCTCACCTCTGAGAATCTAAATCAGCACACAGGAGGCAGAGCTCAGGCACTATCGCTCTCTCGGCCCACAGCTCACCTCCTGCTGTGCCTCTAGTTCCTAAGAGGCCACAGACCCCTATCGGTCTTCTGCCCAGGGGTTGGGGACCCCTGTGCTAAAGAGTCTCTTTGCCAATGTTAGCTATTTATTATTAAATTAGCATCATCATCTTCTCTTAAAATTCTCAAGCCACAATTCTGTGGAACATGTACTTGAGTCTATAAGTAAAAGCAGTTGTCACCACCCAGCAGAAGTATGGCCCAGGACTGCCTTGCCTGGAATTGATGACGCAGGTGGAGAGGGAGAGACCAGCTTGGAAGAAGGCAGGAGGAGGCAGGTGGGATAAGAAAGCCAGAGATTAGATGTGGGGGAGTTGAGCAGCGAGTGTAATATCCCCTCCAAAAAGAATTAATTCAAAAGATAAGTCCCTGTAAATGGGTCCATATCCCATATTTCATTATGATATCCTGTTAATGTCATATGAAAATACACGGCAGGTGGGTAGAAGGAAATTAAGAACCTTGCAATCAATGGTGTGAGAGACCAAATCTGCACCTTCTACGTTAGAAGTCAATAGATAACATCTAAAATAGGAATAACAAGAAATAGCAGACAAGCATGATGTAAGTTCAATAGTTGGAGATAAACATAATATTGAGTGCATTATTTGGACACTTAGAAGCAAGGGGAATTTAGAGTAGCCACCTCTATACAGTAGGACTTAGAGGACTGGGGGCACTGACAAGGGACGTAAGTATAGTAGCACTGTGACCTTTTGAACTATTATGCTACTATGTTAAAAATATTAATTGTGCAAAAGATAAATATCCAAAATGTACAAGAACAAATAAATGCTTTTATATAGTCTAGATTTTTCATTAACTTCACGTCTTCAAAAATAATTATATAAATGAAATGGGGAAACAAAATCATTATTTCTATTAAATTAATAAAAACATGGCTAATATTAAAAATATATATCGGTAAATCTATGAGATAAGAGTTATACCTTTCAGCATCCAATCTATCAATACATAAAATAGGCCTTTAAATTCTTTTTTCCTCTATTGCTAGAATTTTATCTGGGGAAAAAAAAAGTTCCCAACTAAATATCTCAACTGGAAACAGAAGTAACTCATAAAAGTCTGTTCAGAACAGTTCTATTCATAATAGCAAACATAATTAAAAACAGCTCCAGCACCAAGCAATAAGATTGCATTTAAAACACATCAATATACATCAATAAATTTGATAATGCAGTTTGTTAAATGACAGTAGACTATAATTTATATAGCAGACTATAATTTATAGACTCAGCCACTATATGAAGGATGTGTACAAAACTATATCTATAAATATAACTAACCCTATATCTGTATGTCTGTATGTTTATTTTACATTGGCAAAAATGATAGATAAATTTTATAAATGTGGAAGGTATATTTGGGGTAATCTGACTTAAGATAGGTTAGGTGGCATTTCTTAAGTTTACTTTAGGAGGCTTTGGAGGACATTTTAATTACATTTTTCTTTCATATCAGAAAAGACTGACATTTGAAAGACTCCAATGAGGTGAAAATGTTATACATCTTTGGATTCTGCTGTAATTTTGTAGATAAAAAACCCTCCAAATGTTCATTATATTTTGTGTCGAATCTTATTGTTTCTTCTACTTGGACTACAATTAAAAAATTAAACTACCTTTGTCATCCTAAGATGAAAAATTCTTGCCAAACTGGCCAAGCTTGAGAAAATCTCTCTGGAGTTAGGCACTGCTTCTTTCAGCGGAGACCAAGTCTCTGTCTCCTGTTCTGCAGAGATCCAGTTCAGGGACCCTCTGGGGTCTAAAAATCATGGAAATCAACAACATCGACCACCCAAGGAGGGTGGGAAAGCTCAGGCTATAGGAAATTCCACCTCTCCTTCCAGGTTAGGGTAAGCGATGGAAAACAAAAGCACTTTATTCTACCCTGGTGAATCCTCAACAGGAGAAAAAGAAAAAAGGATACTAGCCATATATATATATTATATATACAAATATATATTATAAATATATATTTATTAATTTATTTTTGCCATCCAAGGAAAAAAAGTAGAAAAGCAGAACAGCTTATTTTTTAAATTATATTGAGATGTACTTAAGCAGACGGGCTGAAGGTGTACCTTCATCTTCCTCCTGTCACCTCAAGCCCTTAAAATTAAGCAAAAGTACATATTTGCCAGCAGATAAGATGCATCCTCTATTCCCACCATCCCCCTCCACCGCCCTCACCAAACAATCTTCAAGCTACCCTGCACCCAGTTCACCTGTGTTAAAGCGGGAAGGCAAAGCACAAAAAGAAGACCTGTCCAGGTAAAAGGCAGGAGGCGGGCTGGCCTGCCGTTTGCCAAGTTAAAAAAGACAATAGTGACGATGCTGCCCTCTAGTGGTACATAAATAAAACAAATCACACAAACAACTGACTTCACAAAACTAACAAGCCCCAGACAACCCAGCCAAGAATGCCAGTTTTTAATTATTTCCTTGACATTTTAGATAGAAACTTCATTATCACAAAACATGGACATAGAATACATTTTTTTATTCCATTTGTTCACGGGAGAACAGGGCTATAAAGTGTTAGCTGGGAGAGAGCAATGACTCTATTTCTAATGCAGAAAAATGCCAATGATGAAAAGGATCTTCTTGATCCCAGGACTCAGGCAGTTTTGGGGGCTTTGGCAATGGTAATTTTTGAGAATGAAAAACAAAAACATATGATTCATATTTATATAATTGTTAATAAATAATCTTGATAGTCACTGGAATATCCATTTCTACTCTAGTAGGCAAATAGGCTAAAATCCACCATGACCTAAGTAAAGTCCTCCTAATTTCAGGTTTAGCAGATGGCAGTGGGGTGGGGAGAGCAGGCTGCCTGCCTCTGCTCCATGGCCCTGCACTCTAAAGTGAAGTCTGCCAGTCAGCATGCCCCACCCACTCACAGAGTACACAGTGGCTCTGCCAGACAGGCTGAGGCTGGATAGGCAAGCAGAACCTCACAACTGCAGAGTAAGTCACACAAGCCACCTAATACACCACATCTTTTGTGATTATGATCAGATACCAAATGTTACCAGATATTTACAGAAAAATAGCACAAGACAGAAGCCTTCAAAATAAAACAGAAAATCTCAGATGAAGAAGATAATTCAGGGGATGGAAAAAATTGACAACAAAAAGCTCTAACAAAAATCTCCAAAGATATTTAGAAGATATCTCATCCATAAAATAAAAATACACACCACAGGAACAAAGCAATCAGAGCATGGAAGTAAGTTCAGAAGAATAAAAAGTATGGCCAAAATAGTTAATTGTAGATGGACTGAACTATAAAATGAACACAAATGATTATTTTGGATGAATGAGATGAAAACAAAATGATTATTTGGAATTTGATTCTGGTGAAATATTTTAAAATGTACAATAACAAGAAAAAATGGATTTAAATAAAAGAACAAGTTAAAAGGCACAAAAGAGCAGTATAATACTACTAAAATCCAATTGAAATAAGTTCTTGGAGAGATTAAAAAATATAAAATAAAGTTATTGGAAAAGATAATAGGTAGATAAATGGATAGATGGAAGAAGGAAGGGAGGAGGGAAAGAAGAAAGGGTAAAAATGTAATTATCAACATATAATTCTCAATCTGGGAAAACTCCCCTTAAAAAATGGGAAATAAATTATTTTTAGATAGACAAAAACGAGAGTCTTTCACTAACAGATCTATGCTGTAAGAAATAGTAAAGAGTGTCTTTCAGGCTGAAATAAAAAGACACTAAGGAGAAACTCAAATTTATTTGATAAAGTAAAAACAATTACAAAAGGTAACTATATAGGTAAATATAAAAGACAATACAAATATATTTTTGTTTGTACCTATTTTCTTCTCCTAAATTATTTAAAAGACAACTTCAAAAAGAAATAATTATAAATCTATGTTAATGGGCATATAATATATAAAGATGTGATATGTGACAGTAACAGCATAAACAAAGGAAGGAAAACTATACAGGAGCAAAGTCTGTATACTATTGAAAGGAAGTTGGTATTAATTTGAACTAAATTGTTGTAAATGAAGATATTAATTGTAATTCCCAGGGAAACCACAAAGAAAATAACTCAAAAATGTACAGTAAAAGAAAGAACAAGGGAATTAAAATGGTACACATGAAAAATAACAAAAATGAAAACAGTAATCCAAAAACAGAACAAGGTAGACATAAGATGACATAAGATATACAGAAAACACATTGTGAATAACAGATACAAATTCTATCTTATTGTTAATTACATTAAGAGTAAATGGGTTAATCTTCCCAGTTAAAAGGCAGAGATTGACAGGATGGATTCAACATCAAAACATGATTCATCTAAATGCTGTGTAAAGAAAAGCACTTTCGATGCAAAGATAGAAATAGTTGGGAAGGCAAAGGAAAGGAAATGTTATACCATGAAAATGGTAACCAAAAAGAAACAAAGAGATCTGGAGTGACTATATTAATACCAAACAAAAAGACTTTAAGGCAAACATTGTTATTATAGACAACTAAGGACATTTTGTAATAACATCAATTCATCAAAAAGATAACACAATTATAAACATATAAGCACCTAAGAGCGAGTCCCAAACTATATAAAGCAAAAACTGATGCTATTGAAGTGAGCTGTAGACAATTCAACAATAATAATTGGAGACATCGATAACCTGCTTTCAATAATAGATAAAACAACTAGACACAATATCAGCAAGAAAATGGAAGAGTAGGACAACATTAAGGCAAAGTAAGAAAAAAAGAAACAAACAAAAGGCTAGACCTAACAGGTATATTTAGAACTTAAACCCAAGAATAGCAGAATGCACATTCTTCTCAAATGTACATGAACAGCCTCTAGGATAGATCAAATGTTGGGCCATAAAACAAGTCTCAATAAGCTTAAAGCAATTAAAAGAAAAGAAAGTATTTATTTGACCTCAATGGAATGAAACTAGAAATCAGTAAAATAAGAAAATGTGGGGAAATCACAAAGATGTGGAGATTAAACAATACTGCTATATAAGCAATGGATTAAAGAAAAAAATCACAAAGGAAATCAGAAAATACTTTGAGATGAATTAAAACAAAAGCACAACATATCAAAACTTAGGTGCAAAAAAACTAATGCTCAGAGGAAAATTCATAGAATTTTATTTATGCCTCCATGAAAAAGAATACCTCAAATCAATAACCTAATTTTCTGCCTTAAGAAACTAGAAAAAAGAGAAAACATAAAGAGAAAGAAATAATAAGGATTACAGTGGAAGTAAACAAAATAGAGAATGTAAAACAATAGAGAAAATCAAAAGTTGGTTCTTTGAAAAAACTGACCAAGTTGACAAACTGTTAGCTACACATTAATCAGAAAGAAAAGAGAACACTCAAATTTAGTAAATCAGAAATGAAAGATGAGATTTTACTATTGACCTTAAAGAAAAAATGAAAAACATTATAAGGGAGTAGTAAAAACAACTGTAATGGTAATGAATGAGATAACCTAAGTGAAGTAGATAAATTCTAGAAAGACATAACCTTCCAAAACTAAGTCAAGAAGAAACAGAACATGTGAATAGACCTACAACAAGTAGAGATTAAATTAATAATAAACTTTCCCAAAGAAAAGTCCAGGACTAGATGGCTTTCCTAGTGTATTCCAACAAATATTTAATGAAGAATTAACAAATCATTTACAAGCTTTCTGAAAAACAATCAAATAAGAAGCACTTCTCAATTTATTCAATAAAGGCCTTTACTATCCAGATAATAAAACCAAAGACAACTATAGGTAAAAAAAAAAAAAAAAAAAAAAAAAAAAAAAAAAAAAAAAAAAAAAAAAAAAAAAAAAAAAAAAAAAAAAAAAAAAGCTATAGGCAAAATTAAGAACAATTGTACCTCAGAGGTCACCATCACAAAAGTTGAAAAGAAAACCCACATATTGGAAGAATATATCTGCAAATCAAATAATCTGATCAAAGTCTAGCATGTAGAATATATACATAACTTTTACAACTTAGCAATAAAAAGACAAATAATATAACTAATTTAAATATGGGCCAAAAGTTTTGAATAAACATTTTTTCAAAGCAGATATTTAAATCACCAGCAAGTACATAAAAAATTCTTAACATTATTAGTCATTAAGTAAATGCAATCAGAAACACAATAACATACCCCGTCACACCTATTAGGATAGGGTGGCTACTATAAAAATAAACAAAAATATCTTCCTATCTTAAAAAAATATTGTTTATAGAAAGTATTGTTGTGTAGAAATGGGTACTCACAAGGATTAGTCTAAGCACAAATCAATACAATAAATATTTTAGGGCACAATTTGGCAGTATCTTTCAAAATATGCTGATTTCAATGAAGGAATTCCATTTCTAAGTATCTGTCCTAGAAAAAAACTGTGCACATGTACACAAAGTAAAATGTAGAGGGAGGCTCACTGTAGCTATGCTTATTATAGCAAAATGCTGGAACTCACCCAAATGTCCATTTGCAGACAGATGGTTAGATAAATCAGTCTACAATGATTCTAGTACGTAGCCCCACACCCCCTTTCCTGGATATCAAAAAAGCAAGGTAATTTTAGGGAAGAAACTAATTTTCAAAACAATACTCATAGTATGATACCATTAATAGAAAGCAAAATAAAACAAACCACCTTCTATATACCCAAGTGTTAATTCTGGCTACCTCTGAGGAGGCTAGGTTAGGAAGGGGTAAAGTAACTTCCATTTTTGAATTTACGTATCATGTTATTGCTTAAATTTTTATAAGAAGAATAATTATATGTTGTATGTAAAATGTTAATTTTAAAAGCATACCTATTTTTATAGAAGACTGTTAAATCTAACTTTAAATCTCAATTTTAATTCATAATAACATAACAGAATAAACATTCTTACCTTCCAAGTTTTCTATTTTTTCAATGTTGTTTAAAGCCAAATTCAAATATTCAAGTTTCTTGAGTTTGCTAACATTTTCTGAAATATAAGATAATGTAATTAATTACAAGATAATCTTCAAAATAAAGACACTTGTATGTAATCTATTGTTAAAATAATGAAGAAAATCTAAAGATTATTATGGTTACCAAAACCATGTTGCTTTTTCAAATCTATACCTGTACATCAGACATGGTGGCTGTCTAAGGAGGACCTATTTCTCCCTCCATCCTTCCTAATGAAACCCTAGAGACATTGCTCATGTCTCTACCTAGCCCTAACTCTAGGGGGGGTAGGTTTAACCAAACTGGGCCAGTGCATGACAATCTAATCTCTCTGGCTAGTGATGGCTCAGGAAGGTAGGTTTAAGCCAAACAGCCCATGGCAGTCTCTTGGCAACTGTGTTGTACAGGAGAGGACATGCAAACCAAGTGCTCCTACCCAGATAAAAGGGAAGGATCTATATTCCATGCTTGGGGGGTTCTTACCTCTTTTTCCTGTGGGATATTAATAAGGAATTACTCTCTCTATTGATTCTTATACTCAATCATAAGGGAAACAACAGCAGGACAAATCTGGATAGCTGGTAGAGCAGAGAGAAGGAATCAGCCAACCCTGATTGATTCTGGAGTCTGTCCTACCTCTAGACTTAGAGACGGGTATGATAATTGATTTCCTTACTGTTCTACCACATTCAGTTGTGTTTCTTTGACTTGAAGCCAAAATCGACCTGATACAGGATTATCTTATTTAATAAATATGAAAGCCCATACAGGCAAAACCACAAGCACAAACAAGTCACAGAATTGCTGCAGAATGGGGCCTTTGAAAAATAGTGAATAATATCAAACACTGCTGAGTGCTTATTATATGTCACACAATGTTCTAAGCCTTTTGCATATATTATCTTATTTAATCCTCATAATAACCCTATGAGGTCAAAATGATCGTCTCCTTTTTACAAATCAGAACACCAAGGTACAGAAAATTAACTTACTTGTCCAAGGTTAAGTGGTAGAGCCAGGAAATTGCACTCCAGAACCTGGAACTAAATCATTATAGTACACCTTAAAAGGACAGTTCTTTCTAAGATGAGAGGAATGTAGAAAACTCTGCTAAGGACTGTGCACTAGGGGCAGCCTCACTCAATTAGTGCCTCCTCTGCCCATTTCTCAGGGATATGATGAAGCTGAAAAACATGGTGATTTATAATCATCACCCTTATCACCACTAAAAGTTAATCAAAAATTTACAAAACATCATATATTTGTTTCCATAGTCGTGAACAGTTCACAGCTCTGAGTTTCAATTTATGCATTGTTTAAAAGGAGAATTTTGGGGGGAAAAATTACAGAAGTTTGTCTCAGAATTTAAATTATTATAAGTAATTCTAATGTTCTCAAAGGATCTCTAGAAACATCTGAGCATTCAATTGTCAACAGATTTGGAGGTTTCTGTGTGCCAAGAACTATGAGAGTCTAGTCTATATCCTGAACAAAAATACTTTATTATTATTAAAATGGCCAGCCCACAATAAAATACCTGTTCGAAATAGGACTTCCCTTTGTTATATGCATCACCCTCTAAATGCTAAAGGAGTCACATGATAGAAAAGTAAGGCTTGCTCAGGGAGGGTTTCCTAAATTAACTCCTCAAAAACAACAGGGCCCAACTTGGAAAAAGGGAAGGGGGTGAAGCTCTCAGTAAGACAAAATAGAAGAGCCTCTTGTGTAGTGGAAAGGGAGTCTGAGTTCTAGCAAAACTATTCTACAAACAGTTCTCATCAACTAAGCAGACCCACGAACTTGGAGTAGACCCTCTCCCTTCTCAGGTTTACAAAGCTCTGTGGCTCTCAACTTGGCCTAGGCATGCAGCCCATTGTGAAGCTGTTGAAAGGGTTGGTTCCAGGAGCCCACAGGTTCTGATTCATTAGGTCTGGGGCAGGGCACTGGACAAGACCCCACCTGGCCCCTGGGTTCCCTCTTGGGTCACCTCTAAGCAGCGCCTTCCTCAGCAGACCACCTATGTCTTCCCATGGGCAACAGAGCTTTAAGAAAGGCAACTGCTTCGCAAATTTCCACCCCAATAGCACAAGAGCAAGTCTGAATCCTAGAGGAGTAGTTTTACTTGCTAAATAAGTGCCTAAATGCCTATGGGTGGAGCAGCACTGAAAAATTCCATTATTGGGATTTAAAAGGGTGTTTAATTTAAGAATACTTTGGAAGCAAAAATTTAAGCTTTCTGACAGCTCTGAAAAGGACTGAAATACCATGCTCCTAATTAGTAATTGTGATGGACCCAGCTGTGAAGATTAAAATTTTGGGAACTCTTTTAGATCTGTACAATTAGAACCGTTCTTTCATGCCCCCATGCATAAAAGCTGGTGGTTTTCTGTAATAGCCTTTTTAATTGAACAATGTGCCAGAGTTTCTAATTTCTGGTCAAGTTAAAGATGCCAAAAATAATTAACTGAAAAAATACAGAGAATTTTAGTAAATCTTCAAAAAATGATGCAAAGCTAGGCTTTCTGCAAGCCTGAAGCCAATTTTCAATTATCTACGAAACTACACGCAACCACATCACCAGCATTTCTCAACCTCAGCAATACTAACATTTTGGGTTGGATCATTCTTTCTTGGGGGCGGGGGTGGCATCTTGTGCACTGCAGGACTGTTTGCAGTATTCCTGGCCTCTACACCCTAGATGCCAATAGCATCCCCTCCCCATCCTCCCATACACATGCAACAACCAAAAATATCTCCAGACATTGCCAAATGCCCCCTGATGTGAACCCCAGCACATTACCATGGGAAGTAAAATAAGCTGACCTCTGAGTTCTCGTGCCAGGGCACAGAGGGGTTGGCACTCTCTCTGCCTCATCGATCCTGACTCCATCTTTTTTCCTCCAACTCCATTGGCTCCTCCCTTCTGCTCCTACCTTCAACTGGCTAGCCTGGGGCACACTGGGGTAAATGATCAAATTGATAACAGTAGCAGCACAGCAGCTATCCTCTACTGAATACTAATGATTTAGCAAGTACCAAGCATATCATTTCATGTAATCTGTATGCCAATTTAGACATCGGCATTATTAGCCATTTTACAGACGGCAAAACTAAGACTTGGGCAAAGTAACTGACTTGTGAAATTTCACACTGCAAACAGGTAGGTGGCAGAGGCAGCGTTCTGACACAGGTCCACCTGACGCCAGAGCCTGTGCTTTCTCTTTCTGGGTGCTGGGGATTCTCCTTTAGTTTCCATGTGGCAGGACCTCCATTAGAGCAACTGCACAGGCCTCCCTTCCCTCTGCCCTTTAATTCACCATTCTGTGGGAGAAGTCGGGTGTGGTGGGGGAAGGAAGACCAACGTATCTGATAGGTTCATCAGGAGAAGAAACTCAGCACACCCAGTCCCACCCTCTTTCCTGATTTCTGGAATCTTCCTGCCAGCAGAGAGCACATGATCTCAACCTACCTCCTGACATAAAGCAAAGACCCACCTGGGTAGGAGAAACTTGTGGTTGTCCAATTCTGCATGTAACTGGGCGGGTGGGTATTCCAAGGGCAATATTAGCAAGCCAACTTGGCTGCAAGTCTAAGTCGCTTTTCTTTATCAGTTTTAATGCTGATGTTTTTATCTTCATTGACCTGATTCCTGCATTTACCTCTAATTTTCATTCCAAATTGGAACCCCCTCAATACCCAACACAGAGCACAATGCCTTGCACATATATGGTCACAATAAATATACAATAAATCTGCAGTAACCTGACAAGGACTCCCTCAATTTTTATATAAATTAGTTTTGCACTGTGATGTAAAACCATGACAAATACCTCCTCCCTTTCAAACTTAAAAAATATCAGGTTTGATGTGTTCTCTGTCTTTTTAGATGATCAGGTCAAGTAATGTGTTCCTCATTTTTATGTGCTCTCCCAGCTCCTTGCTGGAAATTGTTTTCACTACACACAGAAATGTTCAGGGAATGCCCCCCATACAACTACTGAAAGATGGCTGTGTCTGTTTTCTCATGCAATTCTTTTCCAATGATTGTCTTCTTCTAAAAATAACACTACACTTTCCAAAGTTCTCTCATTCACAATGTTAAAGAAACCATGAGAGCAAAGCACTGAAACTTACCAATTTTCCCAATAAGATTATTTTGAAGATAGAGAATTTTTAAATCCCGGCACCATTTATCAATGTGTTCTAGTCTTTCTATTTCTTGCTGATGCAACGAGAGTTCCTCCAGGGAAAAAATGACACAGTCATTGTGTTCAGCATTCCGTCTAATAAGATCTTCTGTGACTGGAAGAAAATATGTTACATATTACACTTATGTCCCCATTGTTCAATATAAGATTATTGTGCTATGAATACAGTTGGGCATTTTTTTTTCAGTTAAATGTCAATTCTCCAGGCCCAAGCAATTTTCAAAGTGAAAGAGAAAATGCTACCTTCTCCTTGAGTTTTTGTGATGCCATGATGTGAGTCAGAGGGAAGAAGAAGACATGATGATATCACATTTGTCTTTGAATATGTAGAGTCTACATATGTTTTGCTGTATGGATGAAGATGGAGTTGAGAATTAATGGCTATAAGAATGTTGATATGGAATCTTACAGTGGTACCATGTCAAAATGGATGAGATCCACTAACTAATCTGAGACACAGCAACTTGCTACTGAGAGGCACAGTGGGGCTGGCAGAGAGCAGAAATAAGAAAGCATCTTCCACCATTCAAAGAAGAAGGGTCCTGGGTCATTCATTTAACCAATATTTATTAATTTAACTATGCTTAAAACAAAGAAAATGAACACCTTAGATCTTGTACTGCAGTCTTACCAAGCGGCCACCACTTGTTTTGCTTCCTAGGAGAATGTTTTTTAAAGCTGTTCACAGGAGAAGGCATAAAGGGAGCTGCCATCCCTCTGACAAGAGTGATGTGTAACACTGGGCTTGCCTGCCACAGAAGGTCACCTATGTCCAGGTGCAAGACACTGGACATAGTGCTGTCTATGGTCCACAGTCGGGGCCAACCACAAGGCCATGAATCATCTTCATAGAGATGTACTGAAACCAAAGAGCTAATGACCAGGAGGAACCATGCATTTCCCATTGCCACTAAAAATGTTATTTGTTGAACTCTCACATCTTAAATAGGATGTGGAAATATTGTCTGTCTATACCAGGAGATAATTGTCACTTACAAGGTGCCAGGTACTATTCTAAATGCTTTGCATCTATTAATGTATGACTATCTGGAGTTATTATTTCCAACTGCCAGATGAGGAAGTCAAGCACAGAGAGTTTAAATAGCTTACCTGGGTCTTGGTGATAAGTGCTAGGGCTAGGTTTTAAATTCACAGTGCAGTGCCAGACCATTGCTCTTAACCACTATGCTCCCCTGCCACAAGCATGAGCAAATAACAGCCTCTTGAGATTCCAGGTTTCCTGAAGGTACAGACTCCTCTAGCTGAGACAGAGTTCTTTACTGCAACTTCTGCTACCACACCTCTATGTCACATCCTTAAAAGTGGAGTTTGCCTTTTTACTAAATGTAAAAACATGTACGAATTTGATCCTTCATATGCAGTTAGCTAAACTCTCTGCTACTTCCAATGGGAGGAGATACAAGTGCTTGCAATGACAGTTCTTTAGAAGAAGGACCAGAGTAATATAGAGGTTGAAAGATTAAAATACTATACATGGGGAAAGTCCTTGCTACTCTAAGCTTTGGCTCAACTAACAGGCAGAGATTGTCACAAACCAGATCTTGGTGAGGGACAGACCAAAGCACCCAGGAAGGAGGGTAACAGGACACCATCACCAGCCTGACTCACTGGCACCCCTGCTGCCAGCCCCATTCAGCTGCCCCTGGAATTCCACTGCTGCTTTTAGGGAGCTCTATTCAAGGAAAAAAGAAAAACCAAACCTGTAAGAGAAGAGCATTAAAACTACTCTCCATCCTCCTTATCAAAGTTGGTTCTAACAGTTTAAATCAACTGATAATGAATAAATGGGTAAAGCCAGAGGATAGAGCAATGCTCCTATGTAAAGCAAAATGTATGATCTGTATCTATAATTTATCTATCAGAATTCCCTTAGCAGGGATGCAACGTGTGTCAAAAGGTTTAGATGGCACAACCCTTGTTATCTGCACATTTAATAAAATGTGGAAATTATTCACCACTAGTAATAACACCCTCAATGACTAATGGTGTATCTATAACTTAAACTATACAAATCCATAGCAAGGGGGTGGATTGTTGGAGGCCTTGCTACTATTAGAACTGGAGTCCTTGGGGCCAGGAGGACATGCCCATCAAGGGCCCATGTCTTCCTGTCTAGACCATGGCCCATGGTGGGAACAATGGAATTCTCTGTCCAAGGGGCTCCAAGTCCTACTCCAAACCCTGCAATGGCAGCTTCTTCAGGTTCATTCTTGAAGACAGATCATGTCATCAGGTACAAAAGCCAGTGCCTAGGGGTGTCCAAGGATCAGCTGTTTGTCAGGGATGTGGACAGCACGGATACGTAGGCTGGAGTGTCCATGCTCATATATGGGCATGAGGGGCCAGGATAGAGCCACAGATGGGAAGAAAAGGGAAGACGGAGCCAGAGGACAAGCTTTCCCCAAGCCACCATGCCCTGTCACAGAACTCCAGTATATGAAATGCAGCTTTCCAGGTTGTTGTGAAAGTATACTTGTCAAGGGAGGAAGACGTATTTGATTTAGCAGTTTGATTTATAACTTGATACATGGGCCTTTACTTAAACTCTTGCCCCAGATTCTGGTTGAAGGCTTAGTTTTGTATCCATATTGAAGATGTAACTTAACTTGAACTCCAAAGGAGCTGTCATCTATGCTTAAAGTCAAATGTGTTCAGGGGACTTCTGAGAGCATGTTACCATCACCTGGTCTCTGGCCTTACATTGCCATGTGGGACTTTCTAATCCTCAAGGCTGCTCAAGGCATCACAGGCACCTCCAGTCTACCTTCTGAGAAGCTTTTCCAAACTGTCCACTCTTAAAGATTTACAGGGTTGACCAAGTTTCTACTGGTACAAAAAATCCTTGTAGTATTCTTTTGCTACACCTCTGAACATTTAAGAAATGCTTTTTTTTCCTTTGAGAAAGGGTATCACTCTGTCACCCAGACTGGAGTGCAGTGGCATCATTACGGTTCACTGCAGCCCAGGCTCAAGGGGTCCTCCCACCTCAGCCTCCTGAGTAGCTGGAACTATAGGCATGTGCCACCACACCCAGGTAATTTTCGCTTTTTTTTTGGTAAAGATAGGGTTTCACCATGCTGTACAGGTTGGTCTCAGACTCCTGGACTCAAGCGATCCACCCACCCTGGCTTCCCCAAGTACTGGGATTACAGGTGTACGCCAGCGTGACCAGCCAAGAAACTATCTTCATCGTGCTGTTATTTGTGTAAAATTTATCACTTCATACAATTGTCAAATCTTCTTTTTCAAAGGCACATAGATATTAAGAAAGAATTATGTTGATTCATACCTTCTAACCATGAGAATTAAGATGAGAAAAATCCTTATTAGTTTAAAGAGGTGGAGTTCAGGGAACTTCCCTTAGCATGGGCAACTAATCTACACACACACACACACACACACACACACATGCACACACACACACACACACACACACACACACACACAAAGGAAAGAAGGGACAGAACAGAGAAAGTTGCCTGGACAGCAATGATTATATACAATTAGGATACATTAAAAGAAAATGGAGAATTGCAGAGGAGGATAGAACTGTAAAGATCTGGAATTTCCCAGCAGACCTTTTCTAAACTCTTCTGTAACTTTCAAACTGCTATGTGGCTTACCGTCTTAAAGCACTCAGGAAATTGTTGTTACACAATGCTGCTTCACCTGTAATGGCAAACATCAGAACAAAAACCAGAGTCCCCAAGAAGAAATGTGTAAAGATGTCTATATGGTCCATGGAGATTATAGTGTTTCCATGCATTTGAACAGGAAAGCATTTTTGGTTTTATATCTGATTTAGAGCAAACATTCGTTAAGTTCAAGGAGCATTATTTGCCCTTAGAAATTTCTACTCCAAATAATATAGCCCTGCACTGATGTGAGATCATTCTAGAGATTTAAAAATGCTTTGGGAGGACATACAAGTGGCCAAAAAACATTAAAAAAAAAAATTCCACATCACTAGTCATCAGAGAAATGCAAATTAAAACTACAATGAGATACTATTTCCCACCAGCCAGAATGGCTATTATTATAAAAGTCATAAAATAATAGATGTTGGCAAGGATGCAGAGAAAAGGGAACACTTATACACTGTTGATGGGAATGTAAATTAGTTCAACCACTATGGAAAACAGAATAGAGATTTCTCAAAGAATTAAAAATAGAATGAACATTCAACCCAGCAATCTCACTACTGGGTATTTTCCCAAATGAAAATAAACCACTCAATCAATCAAAAAGATGTCTATATTCCTGTGCTATTGCAGCACTATTCATAATATCAAAGTCATGTGTTCAACCCAAGTTCCCATCAACAGCAGACTGGATAGAGAAAATCTGGCATATGTACACCATGGAATACTATGCAGCCATAAAAAGAATAAAATCATGTCCTTTGCATCAACATGGATGTAGCTGGAGGCCATTATCTTAAGTGAATTCATGCACAAACAGAAAATCAAATACTGTATGTTCTCACTTAAAAGCTGGAGCTAAACAGTGGGTACACAAGGACATAAAATGAAAACTATAGACACTGGGGATTCCAAAATGGTAGAGGGAGGAGAGGCAAAGTTTGAAAAACAACCTACTGGGTACTGTGTTCACTATTTGGATGAGGGGTTTACTTGAAGATCAGACCCCAGCATCATCCAGTATACCCATGTAAGAAATCTGCACATGTACCCTCTGAATATAAAATTAAAAAGAAAAATAATATATAGTTTCAAATAGCTAGAAGGAAGATACTGAATGTTTCCAACACAAAGAAATGATAAATGTTTTAGATAATGGATATGATAATTACCCTGGTCTCATTACTCTACAGTGTATATATTGAAACATCACCATGTATGCCAGAAATATGTACAATTATGTGACAAGTAAAAACAAAATTATAAATAAAAAAAAAGACACAAACTCTGCCCTTAAGGAGTTTTCAGTCCAGAATTAATGAGAGGCAGTGACTACAGTGAGTGATGAATGATGAGCTTGAGAGAAGAGCTGGATACCATGAAACAGGTAGGAGGAGGACCCAACCCAGGTGCGGCTTCAGAAGGAGGGGAT